AGTTAGCCTTCCGCAGTAACGACACACATAAGGGGCCGCACTATAGGGCGAGCCACACATTTTGAGGGGAATAAAAGACGTTTATATGCGTCATAGTGTAATAGTGTAATAGTGTAAGCTGCTTATTTCAGCAGCATTACAAAAACAAATGCTAAAATTATGCTTCATATGAAAAAATTGCGACTATTTTACTTTTTAACAAGTTAACTTTACAATTCTCTATTTCTTTATCATGTAGCTCTTACTTTAGACATGTTTCTTTAATAGTATTTAGTTTAACCATCAGCAAACTTAAAAGTTTCTAGAACTTTCTCCAATAAATCACACAGAAAACAATGCAGAGTTTTAGAAAACTCAGTTCTCACATCTTTCATGTTCAAAGCTTCAAATTCAATGTTGGTCAGTTTCTTGGAGACTTTAAATCTTCTTAGAGATGAAGAAGTCGTCAAAAAAGGTGCATTCGCTGAGTGAGGTCTGAGAAAATGCCATAATTTTCCGTTGGTTGTTCTTTGTTTTTTAATGAAACCATAGCAACCATGGAATTCTGTGCATGTTTTAAATTGTGTGTTCCAGTATGTTAGCATATTTAGAAAAAAGGCTAATAGCCTGTTAGCACTGTTAGCACCTTAAACTCACTATGCAAGGAAGATCAATGCATAGTTTGACTTGGTCTAGAAACCCAAAAGGACACGTTACGTGGTGTTTGGTTCACATTAAGGAAATTCTGAAATTCTTGATTTGTCTTTAAACCTGCCAAATGCAGCCTTATATTTCCGATTAAGCTTCAGACTTCCAGCTTTTTAAAAGAAGTGTTGGGATCTGGAGATTCTCCACCTTCTCCAGCAGAGTGCGCTGTGGATCCTCCTGGGCTGGAGCCCTCCAACACAGCTGACGTTCATCAGCTCATCAGGAGACCGGCCTTTATAAGCAGCTGCCAGACCTTCCTTCGATGCCGCAGTGTTAGCCAAGTTTGGTTAGCGAACCTGAGCCTCTGAATTTACTAATCGTTATCTTCTTAGAGAAACCTAATTCTAATTGCCTCTGTCTTCTCGCTCCTAGGAAACCAGTCTCTCGAGAGAAGCTCTGGATGAGCTTAACCTGTGCCTGCCTGCCTGCCCTAGAGAGCCAAACCTGAAGACCTCACTCTGGAATCCACTAGCTGCTCTTTGGGAAAGAGCTAATCACTCAAACCAAGGTCTTTTCACTGGAGGTCAGAAGCTAGATGCTGCAGCTGCTCAAGCACTCTGCTGAACCAACAGTCTCTGGACCCAACCGGTTCCCTCTCTCTGAACTAGCCTGGACCTCTTCAAGGTATCCACTGAAATATCTGATAACCCATTTTACTCATCTGCAAACCAAGCTAACCAACTATCCGTCTCTGCAGACGCCAGAGAATCCTGCCCGGACCAGAACCTGAATCTTGTTTTTGTCTTTTGTGTGAAACTTCAATAAACTCTGTTAAATCTTCTTACCAAGTCTCCAGTGGTGTTCTGCATGTGGGTTTATCTCTAAACCGATCATGACAAGAAGCAGGTTTAAAGTTGTAGGGAAGTCATTAAAATTTCAAATCATTCTGGCTTAAACGTGTATATAAATGTACTCTTCATCAGACAATATTGTCCCAAAAGTTCGAAAATTTCTATTTAAGAAAAAAATCCTGTCTTAGAATCGGTGGTGTTTTTTTTTCCTTTTATTTTATGCATGCCAGTTAGTTATACATCAGCTTCTTCACCTAAATTCAACCAATCATTTATCAACAGACATCTGTCAATAAAGTTTTTTTGTACATGGCATCTTAATTCATAGCTAATATACGCAACGCACTGGTGTAACTTTCTGATGGACTGGTGTGGACATGTCCCCACCATATTTGAAATGGGTGGGGACAGTCCCCCACCAATAATTTGTACATTTGTGTTCGGCTCATTTATCTAGCCAACAAGAGTAACCTCAGGATGCGCCCGGCTGTGTTTGTTCTTAGAGTTTTCAGTCAGCTTTTCTGTCTCGCTATTCCGCTGCTCCTTAGTCCCGCCTACTGATATGACATCATTGGATCCTATGTCCATGGCTCCACATCTGTCGCTCTATGATAGAACATGATTGGCGGTCGCTATTCACCGCGTCATCACTACAGTAGCTACGTGATTGGAGGAGAGACGACACACAGTAGCACTCATTGACATTAACCAGACTTAGACTTCCTGTATTGTCATTGCACAAAGACACAGGAGGTGAATCTTGACAACGAAATGTTGATTATTTGGCTACCAGTGTAACAGAGCTAAAACCTTATTCCTGCGCAATAAATATGTTTCCTATAACTAAGAGCTAGATATATACAGGGTAAAATAAATATATATATATACATATATATTGCACTGAGTTATTACTTCAGATTTTACTTCGAATAAAAAGTAGAAGACGGGTTGGTTTAAAAAAAAGATGCCACCAAAAAAGTCGTCAGACATACGGAGCTTTTTCAACAAAAAAAACCAACTGAGTGCAAGTAGCCGTGAAAATTAGTATTGTAATGCGATACGTTTGACAAAAGCTGGTGTGGAGTCGGGCACCACTCGAGAGAATTTGGAAATGCGACAGTTGGAACAGCCGTTTCCCTATGACTTTAAACTTTGCAGGAAAAGGACGCCAGGGCGGCAGAAGCTTGGTTTGGTGTAGAAGGCTTACAGCCGTACATGTTTGAGCCCTTGCCTCGCAACGCTGCCAGTTCTGTTAGCTCTACGCCTGCTGTAGACACAGACGTCCATCTCACTGAACACTGGGACGCAACTCAATGGGAAAGGAAATGATTCTGATTTCTTATTTCAACCGTTGCATATATTAGCTGTGACATATGAAACAAGATGCTATGATCGAAGAAATTTGATTGACAGATGAACGTTGGCGTTATTTGATTGGCCGAATTTAGGTGTTCAGGCTGACATATAACTAACTGGCCTGCATAAGATAACGAAAAAAAAGCACAGATTTTTAGACAGGATTGTTTTTGGGACAATATTGTCTGATAAAGAGTACATTTATATACATGTTTAAGCCAGAATGATTTGACATATAAATATGACTTCCCTACGACTTTAATACCTTTTAGCTGTTTACCTTTTTATTGTATTTATACACTTTAACCAAAATACCTTTCCAACAATCCCAGCTGGGCTTCTTTTTAACAGATAGCTTAACTAGCTTCATTTTTAACTCCGTTTAGCTTAACGGCTCATGCATTGTATGGCAATTACACTTAGCTTATCTTCAGATTTGAACTTCCACTTAATGCTTTTTTAAATAGTAAGTAAACCCATATTTATCTCTGCCAACGGCATATCAACATTATAGGGAATTATAGGCTCATCTCCAAGCTGCCTCTGTTGTCAAAAATGTTTCAGTTGGCCCATGTGTGTTTCTTGCAATTTTCTTTGTATTTGATTCTTTAATTCAATGTACGTTGTTATACATTAAGCTTGTTAACCCATTTAAGGTTTTCTGTTTTTCATTGTTTTGTTACTCTATCTACAGCACTTTTTTTTTTAGCTTTGGTTGTTGTTAAAGTGCTTTATAAATAAAGTTAATAAGATTTTATTTTGTTTTTTAATTTTTTTAATGAAACAACATAACTATTGAAACAGTGAACATTATTACACATACAAGCATTTATAAATATTAGTGATAGGTTAATTAGGCAACTTGAAGTATTTAGACACATTGCCAAACTGTGTTGACGCTGTCTCACAGAATACTGACACCTGCTGGACATTTAAAGACACTACAGGCAGCTTATTTGAAAGATTAAACTGAATTGATTTGATGAGCTAGTACAATGGTGTAATTTAAGTTTTTGTAGGTTATATTGTATTATTTCATATTTGTGTTTAAATTGAAAATATTTTTGATATTTTTAGATACAGCCAATAAATAATGTAGACATATCTCCTTGAACCCCAGATGGCCGCTCACACTGATCCTGGTTCTGCTGGAGGTTTCTTCCTGTTAAAAGGGAGTTTTTCCTCTCCATTGTCGCTACAAGCATGCTTAGTGTGAGGGATTGCATTAGTCAATGAGTCGATGCAATCAACTGGATTTTCCTTAGAAAACGTTGAATCAATTTCACAGTATGATCTGGTGAACTGTAAAGTGCCTTGAGATGATGTGTTGTGAATTGGCGCTATAGAATTGAACTGAATTGAACATATATAATGTTTGAATTTAGGGGGAAATGTGAATAAGGATGCTTGTGGACTAGGATTTTAAATCATTTTTAAAACAGTAAGTACAGTAAAATGAGTAAATAAACTAAGGATCAATTTGAAAATTAACTTTTATTCAGATAAGTTGAGCGATAACTGAGAGGGAAAGTATGACACGAGAAAATAAAAATAAAAATGCAAAGGCTGAAACGTTCCTGTTCCTTTTAGTCTGCTCCAAAATTCTTGATTTCAATAATAAACCGCAAAAGATGCAATATTTTTTTAGCAGATGCATCATGTTGACAGATATGCTTTTAAACAGTTCAGTGCGTCAGTCAGAAACAACTCAGTGCTTTGCTCTATGGGCTCGGTGTTAATAAATATGTAGGTGATTAAATTAAATTTGAGTTTCTTTATTCGTCTTCGTCAACATTTCTTGGTTGTAGAAAGTATCGAGTTATAAAAAAAAGTCTGTCAGAAGAGGGATTCGAACCCACGCCTCCATTCGGAGACCAGAAGTCCCGTTTACCAGGAAGGTTATTACCTTGAGTCTGGCGGCTTAGACCACTCGGCCATCCTGACAACTGCCGTTAATGACTGAAGTTGATGTATAAGTACTCGATACCACATTCGGTGCATCTACTTTGTCAGTTTGTTTATGTTTGTATAATTTTCCTTACATCACATTATTTCATTTATTATAAATATTTGGAACCAGAAAATCAAAGGTTCTACTAGACGCTACATAAAACAGTTACAAAACGCATTTCCGGTAGAAAGACACGTGACAGCCATCCAACCAACCCAGGTTCCAGTCATTCTTACGAAAGAGAGCAGCTAAACACACCTTCTGCTTAATAATACTCTGGATTGACTTTAAACAAGCTTCTGCTGCCGGTGCAAGAACATGTCTTTTTATAGGAATGCTGTTTGGTTTGTGAAAGGAGTACAGGAGTATACGAAGTAAGTGCGTTTTTTATTAATAATGCTCACTAGGCTTGTAATGTAAATGTTTTTCGCGACATTTACACAACGATTCTTTTGTAATGTTGGCATATAATAGCGAAGGTTAAATCACATGTTCCTATGGATTCTATAAGCACCCATTTGAACAATATGTAACAGGGGCGCGGTAGTGTTCATTGCAGTTTGGTCAAAAGGTTACGGCTTTATATCGTTACGCTTCCATGTTAAAAGAAAAACAATGAGCCGTTTTAAATGGGAAGATAAAAACGGCAAACATCCGTTCTTTTCTTTTTAATATTATCTGCCCTTTCATTGAAGTTCGCTGTAAACGATCAGAAGCAGGGGCGTTCCTAAGACCTGCAAGTATAGGGGGCCTTTACCCTAACCTCTGAGGCTAGGGTTAAAATATGTGGAAAGGTAGGATTTAAAATAAACAAATAAGTGTTTAACTAGGGTGACCAGGTTTGGGTTTCTGAATAGGAGGAGACTTTTTTTTTGTTATGGGGCGGGGTGACAGCTGGGCCACTGAATGGACAGGACCGCTGACCGAACCCGACCTGGTGACCGTCACACACTTATTTACCACCATACGTTGTGAAATGAATAGAAAATAGAGTCACGACATTGACAAGGTTAGAAATAATGATTTGTAATTGAAATAAGAAGGACCTGTGAGGCGTTTCTCAAACTAGAGACACTAATGTACTTATCTTCTTGCTCAGTTGTGCAACACGGCATCCCACTTCTTTTTCTACTCTGGTTAGAGCCTATTTGTGATGTCCTCTGAAGGGAGTAGTACACACCATTGTAAGAAATCTTCATTTTCTTAGCAATTTCTCACATGGAATAGCCTTCATTTTGTAAGAACAAGAATAGACTGACGAGTTTCAGATGAAAGTTTTCTTTTTCTGGCCATTTTGAGCGTTTAATTGACCCCACAAATGTGACGCTCCAGAAACTCAATCTGCTCAAAGGAAGGTCAGGTTTGTAGCTTCTGTAACGAGCTAAACTGTTCTCAGATGTGTGAACATGATTGCACAAGGGTTTTCTAATCATCAATTAGCCTTCTGAGCCAATGAGCAAACACACTGTACCATTAGAACACTGGAGTGATAGTTGCTGGAAATGGGCCTCTATACACCTATGTAGATATTGCACCAAAAACCAGACATTTGCAGCTAGAATAGTCATTTACCACATTAGCAATGTATAGAGTGTATTTCTTTAAAGTTAAGACTAGTTTAAAGTTATCTTCATTGAAAAGTACAGTGCTTTTCCTTCAAAAAATTAGGACATTTCAATGTGACCCCAAACTTTTGAACGGTAGTGTACAAAGGCTCGAAATGGGAAAAAATGAGTGTGCCCCATCAGGCTAGAGTAGTAGAACAATTTGAGTTGGTGGGTCACATGACCTGGAAGCTATTGAAGAAATGTCACATTTTTTTTCTTATATTAAATCGTTAAAAATGAACAAAGGCTTAAAATGGAATAAAAATAAGTGTATTGAATGAAACGACCAAAAAGGCAAATATGTAATAATGATGATGATGATGGTGATGGGGAAAAAACAACCAGCCTCCATTAAACTTTTTACAACATTTTTAGAGTAGAAGAAAACCCTCAGCTCCCAGATGATTAGGTCACAACGATATACATAATCCAGATAACACAGCGGATGATTGTACGTCTGTCCGTTTGCATCTACATTTATCTCTCTTCTTTTTCTCTGATTCTTAACAGAAGCGGCTATGAAGCTGCAGCAAAGCATTTCGCTCCGGGTGACCTGGATGTAAACCTGAGCGGCAGGTCGTTTATGGTCACAGGTGCCAACAGCGGGATAGGAAAAGCTGTGGCGCAAGAAATTGCAAAAAGAGGTGAGTTTTTCTAAGAGTTTTCAGAATAAAAGTTCTCTCAACATAATTGTTCCACATTTTACTGATCAATAACGGATTAAGTGCTAGCAACACTCTCTGGTGGCACTGTGAAAAGTCGAATCCAGTGATGCACACAGTGTGACGTCGCCTCTGCTCTTCTTAGAACATCAACAAAAAAAGTCTGAAAACTTTAGTGATTTTTATATTTTTTTAAATCTGAATTGATCCTGCAGGAGGAACTGTTCACATGGTTTGTCGAAACAAGGGGCGAGCAGAAGCAGCCAAAGATGAGATCATGTCGCAGAGTAAGAATGAGGTAGGTTTGGTGTTGTTTTTCTCCCGATCTAAACAACCAAAGCTTTTCATCCTCAGAAAAAAAAAATGCTCAAGTGCAACCTGAGGTGTTTCTGTTCATTTGTAACCAAAATATTCTCTATCAGAGCACCTCTGAACCCAACCATATGTTCCTTTAGGCACTCGCCTCTTTGGCCTTTTGTAAAACTTGTCATACTAGTTGCTGCTAGCGGTTTTAAAAAAGAAATAAAACTTTATTTGAACATGAAGTTTGCATAGGTTCTCATTCTCTTTTAGCTTTGATTAAAAGGGAATGAGAACATTGTAAAATTGACTAAGTTTGATGCATTTTTTCTGGATTTAATGTGACAGAAAAAGAGTCTGCACAAATCTAATAGGATGGAAAAGATGCATGATGTTTATAAATTACAAAAAAAAAATTACAATCCACTGGACTTTGTTTCCAAGTTTGAAAACATTTTGCTTTCCATCTAGAAAGATTTTTCAATTAACAAAAAAAAAAAGAATTAGCATTGAGTTTGAGGGTTCATAGAGTGTTTTAGTGGACCAAAACAAAGACTTGTTTTGGCTTAGAAAACATGCAGATTGAACCAGGAGTCATTAAGTTTTTTTTAGCCTGTATTACCTGATTCTGGTCTATCAGGGTTCCCACGGGTCCTTAAAAAGTCTTAAAAGGCATTGAATTCTTCAAAATAAAACTAAGGCCTTAATTGGTATTAAAATGTATTAAATCAGCCTTTTGTAGGTCTTAATTTTTTAAAACATCACAAATAGGATTATTTTCATTATGATTTATTTTTGTAATCTAAATAAAACATTAAAATGTAACTTTTTTTTTATTATTTAAAAAAAATAACGGCTCGCTATTATTGGTTCCTTTCCGATAACGGAACCAATAAAAGTGTTGTTGTGGCCGGGACATTTGGGAGATGCACCATTTACTTTTTGTCTGGAAAATATGAGCAAATGTAAATTGTCTCCAGCCAAGAGTTTTCTCCATGGCTAAAACCAGGGAACATACATGAGGCTCAGTGGATTTTGTGCAAGAAGCGATTCAAGCTCGGAACGATGGGAATTAAGGCAGGGGAGTCGCACATGCGAAGCACGAAATAGAAAGCATCAAAATCGAGTTACAGAGAAACAGCCGGTATTTCTCAGTTTTGTTCTGCAACCCTTCCATTTATCACCAAATCAAACATACTAAGAAAACGATACAAAGAAAAATAGTTGCAAAAAACACTTAGCACTGGTTATGTTGTGGCTTTAAAACTGATTTGTTTTGTTCCCTGCTAAAACAAAGTTTGTGAATTCAGGTAAATAATTGTTGTTTTTAGCTTTCTTTCTGTATGGGAAGCTTTTCAAAATTTGAAACATCAGTGCAGTGGTTTATGTTAAAATAAACCTTTGGGTAAAGTTGTCGCAAGCGGGTTTTTCTTGTGTTTCTTTTGAATTTGGTCTTAAATTTTTATTTCAAGTGGCATTAAAAGGTCTTAAAAAGTCTTGAATTTAACTTGCCTTATGCTGTAGGAACCCTGTCTATGTCTCTGAAAAGGGGGTCGTTAGGGGGAATTGGCCTGGCTGAACAGGCGAGGTGCTCTGTCACCCTGTATGGGGATGCGGGTTTCGACGATGGCGGGAAGGAATCCACTCCATCGCGGCATTGCGTCATGGTTTTAAGGTGTTTAGCCCACATGCAGACACAGATGGGGGGGGGGAACAGGAGCAGTTTAAGATGTTTATTGACAACACAACAAATAACATAACATAATAAAGAGCAGACTAGATTCAGAACGTCACCGTTCAGGGTTCTGCGGGAGGAAAGAGGAAACTGATTAAGTCTAAGAATAAGCAAAAGTACCTGCGTAGTTGTTGCTCTGCTTACTGCTGGATACGGATAACCTATCCGGGGAGGGTCAGTGGAGGAATGGGTTCTGTAAATCACAGCTTTCTGATGGGAGGAGGTGGCTGAGCGACAGACGGGATTTAGGCGGGGGCCCGAGCAGCACCGCAGCGGAGGCAGGTTTGAGGAGCAGCTGAAGGAACCAGCGTGAATCCAGGGAAGGGATCTCTTATCCGACTAGGTGGGGGGATTCAGTGACCAGTCCTCTGAGCAAGGAGATGGGCGGATGAGCGATCCAGAGCTTAACGAACTGAAGAGGCAGGAGACAGGTTAGAATCAGGAATCCAAAACATCAGGTTACAGAGATCTTACAATGTCAAATTTATTTATATAGCACTTTAAAAACGGGTATAAAACTGCACCAAAGTGCTTTACAGGAAAGGCAACAACACCAATTAACAAAACAAATTGTGAAACACTGCTTCAAATAAAAGCTGAAGAATAAAAATAAGTTTTAAGAAGCAATTTAAAATGATCCAGACTGTGGGCAGATTTAATTTGAAGAGGTAAATCAGGCATTCCCCAAACTCGGTCCTCGAGGGCCCCTGTCCTGCAGGTTTTAGAGGTTTCCCTGCTTTAGCACAGCTGATTATAATGAAAGCAGTAGAGCAAAAGCCTGTTAATCAACTATAAATTAAAATCAGCTGTGCTGTAGCAGAGAAACATCTAAAACCTGCAGGACAGCGGGCCTCGAGGACCGAGTTTGGGGATGCCTGAGGTAAATGGTTCCACAGAATTGGAGCAACAACAGAGAAGGCCTGATCTCCTTATCTCTTAAGTCGAGTCCGAGGAACTGTCAGTAATAGTTGATTATTTGAACGTAGACTTCTCGACACAGACTGGAATTTTAAAAGGTCTCTAAGATAAGGAGGAGCTAATCCATTTAATACTTTATAAGTTAATAAAATAATCTTAAAATCTATTCAGTAAAAGACAGGCAGCCAATGTAAAGAGGCCAGTTTAGGCCTTATACGGTCACGCTTCCTGGTTCCTGTAAGAACATTTAAACTTTTTGTAAAAAAAAAAATATTTTTTCCCCTACATTTTGAAACCAATACTAACAAAGTATTTCAAGATAATAATTTAATATGTCGGTTCTTTGCTTTTGTCCATAACAAACCACTAATTGTTTAAATTACTTAATTCAGAATTTTTTGGGTTATCCATCAGTCCTGAACTTTGCTGAATCAAGCCACAAAACTACTGTAAATAGCAGTTTCAGCTGACGCTCTTATAAGTGGCGTAGTAGCACAGGCACACTCAGTAGGGTTAAACAAGCGCACCCTTTCCGAGGCTGTCGTTCTATTGGCTGGAAAGGTTGCTAGGCGACGATCCAACTGCAATCAGCGAGAGAGCAGAAAAAATCCGCAAGCAGAGCCTACAGGTTTGCGAGCGTAACTGAGACCCGAGCAGAGCGCGGTTTATGCGCGAAGAGGAGGCAAGCGAGAGGAGAAAATATCTGTGCAAGAAGCATTAAATCTGAGAGAAGAAACAAAGATTTGAGAGAGAAGAGAAAATATTTGAGAGAGAGCGCATGTTTTGAGTGTGAGCATTATAAGTTTTGAGTGCAAGAAGATGAAATTCTTTTCTCAAATTGAAATTATGTGCTCTTGCATTATGGCAGGATAATTCTCCCATACTTGCTCTTCTGCTTTGGGCAATGCGTCTGTGGAGAGGTTATTTGGTTTCTCCAAATAAATTTCTGACATTGTAGTTTAGGTGGATATTATCCAAACTTCTGCAAAACTCTTCTCTCTTTACTGTCTTCTTCTTTTGTGATCTTCAACTAAAGTTGTAGTAGAAGCCTTCACAGGACGCCTTGGTCCCGTCTGAAAAAAGAATAAAAAACAAGAAGACACTTTTTACTATTTAGGGGTTTTATAATTGCAGTTGGTTTGATTTTATTTAGTTTTTCAACAGTAAATGAGTGAAGAGAAATGAATAACAATGGACTCTAAAGAAAACAAGTTCTTTTGCTATTTTGGAGTTTGTTGTTTCAATATGAATAAAAAATTTTTTCAATACTTATGAAAGACATCAATTACTTTTCAATTTTAATTTCTGGCCTCTATATTAAGAATTAAACTATAGTAATAATGAAATACTCTGGATGAAATGTAAAGCACCAAAACCTGCATTCTGTTTCTCTTGTTTTCTAAGAACGTTCACATCCACATCGTGGACATGTCGAGCGCACGGCAGGTGTGGGCGTTTGCACAGAGCTTCTCTGAAAACAACCAGCTGCATGTGCTGGTAGGTGTCTGCAAATATTTGACATTCCCTTCCCAGAGTCTTCCCCAGAATCTTAGCTTTTATCCTTTTTCTGTGTGCTTTCTTTTAGATCAACAATGCAGGCTGCATGGTTAACCAGAGGGAGTTAACAGAGGAGGGACTGGAGAAGAACTTTGCCACCAACACGTTGGGTAGGTAAAAAAAAAACAATGCATTTTCAGAAATGTTAAGATAATATATTTAAAGATCCTTTTTAATCTATTAGGTACCTACATCCTCACCACTGCACTGATACCTGCACTGAAGAAGGTGGAAGATCCCAGAGTGGTGGGTTCAGTTTCAACGAGACAAAAGTGAACAGAAGGAGAACATTTTAAAAATGGATGCCGCTGTCTTCTTCTCAGATCACCGTGTCGTCAGGCGGCATGCTGACCCAGAAGCTCAACATGTCTGACCTGCAGTTTGAGAAAGGCAGCTTCGACGGCACCATGGCTTACGCTCAGAATAAGGTACGACGGGCTGACTTACAACAGCTGTACGAACAGATTGAGATCCAGATGTCAGAGGAAACCCTTTTCCTGAGCGTTTCTTCCTGGGTTCCAGAGACAACAGGTGATCCTCACAGAGCGGTGGGCGTCTCAGCACAAAGAGATTCACTTCTCCTCAATGCACCCTGGCTGGGCCGACACACCAGGTAAACGCATCAGGGAGATCACATCCCCTGATGCAGATTTCTTATTTAAAACCTTTTTTTAAGTTTGCATAAAACATTTTAGATCATTTGAACTTGCAATATAAAAAAATCTATGTTTTAGTTTTTTAATATATCAGACATTCCTCAGTCTGCTTGTTACAGATGTTTTTATGTTTTCTCTTGCAGCCGTGCAGTCATCCATGCCTTCATTTCATGCCAAGATGCAGTCCAAGCTGAGGACGGAGGCCATGGGGGCAGACACGGTGGTGTGGCTCGCCGTATCAGCGGCTGCCATTAAGCAACCTAGTGGGCTGTTCTTTCAAGGTGAGAAACATCTTAGTAAATCAGTTTTAGTTGATGCTGGTGAAGATTCTCAATCATCAAGGTCATAGTCATTCCTAAAAAAGTTAAAAAATCTATCCACTAGACTTGGTTTCCAAGTTTGAAGAAATTTAGCTTCTGATCCAGGAATCTTTTTCAATTCAAAATGTCAGATTTAGCGTTGAGTTCGAAGCTTTTCATAGTAGCCAAAAAACTAGTTTCGGCTTAGAAAACATACAAACTGAACTAGAAGAACGGGTATGCCCCGTTTTGGGTTGTTTGTTAGCCTGCAAAATGGTCTGTGCCTCTGGGTATTGCAGGCTAACAAAGAACCCAAAACGAAATAGAGGCGTTTAAAGTTAAATGGTTATTATGACTCATGAGGAAGATAAAACATCCTTATTTAGAGCTCTTCTATCCATTTCTTCATTTTTCACCATTTTCAAATTCATTTATTTCTATATCATGTTATATATCTTAAGCCTCCCTGGTTAGGTCTATTTCTGGGGTTCTGGAAAGGAGGATCCGCCGGATAGTCGAATCTCGGATTCAGGAGGAACAGTGTGGTTTTCGTCCTTGCCGTGGAAGCTCTACATCCTCAGCAGGATCCTGGAGGGTGTATGAGAGTTTGCCCAACCAGTCTACATGTGTTTTGTGGATCTGGAGAAGGCATTCGACCGTGTCCCTATGGAGGGGTCCTGTGGGGGTTACTCCGAGAGTATGGAGTACCAGGCCCTTTAATAGGGGCTGTTAGGTCTCTGTATGACCGGTGTCAGAGCTTGGTCTGCATTGCCGGCAGTAAGTCAGACTCGTTTCCAGTGAGGGTTGAACTCCGCCAAGGTTTCCCTTTGGCACCAATTCGGTTCATAACTTCTATGGACAGAATTTCTAGGTGCAGCCAAGGTGTTGAGGGGATCTGTTTTGGTGGCCTTAGGATTGCGTCTGTTATACACAGATGATGTGGTTCTATTGGCTTCATCAGGGCGTAATCTACAGCTCTAACTGGATCGGCCAGGATGAGGATCAGTGCCTCCAAATTCGAGACCATGGTCTTGAGCCGGAAAAGGGTAGAGTGCCTTCTCCAGGTTGGGGAGGATGTAGTGATCCTAGTGGAGGAGTTTAAGTATCTTGGGGTCTTGTTCACGAATGTGGGGAAGATGGAGCGGGAGGTCGATAGGCGGATTGGTGCGGCGTCTGTTGTGAAGCATGCACTGTACCGGTCTGTTGTGGTGAAGAGAGAGATGAGGCAAAAAGCAAAGCTCTCGTTTTACCAATCGATCTACGTTTCTACTCACATCTATGGTCATGAGATTTGGCTCATGACCGAAAGAATGAGATCAAGCGGCTGAAATGAGTTTTCTCCGTAGTGTGTCTGGGCTCTCCCTCAGAGATGCGGTGAGGAGCTCAGTCATCCGGGGAGGACTTGAAGTAGAGCCGCTGCTCCTCCACATCGAGAGGAATCAGTTGAGGAGGCTCGGGCATCTGGTTAGGATGCCTTCTTGATGTCTCCCTGGTGAGGTGTTCCAGGCACGTCCCACTGGGAGGAGGCCCAGGGGGAGACCCAGGACACGCTGAAGGGACTATGTTTTTCGGCTGTTTTTTTATATATGTGTGCATGGATGTATACATATTAAACAGGGTTTGATGTTAAGGATTTTTAACACTTGCCCTTTGGGCAAGTGACTTTCACATTTCATTTGCCCAGAAACAATTTTTACTTGCCCAGTATAATGTTTGATAAATACAGTTCCTTATATTCATTTTGTATATATATATCAATGAAACATGTTTGTTTTTTAAATGTTTTTTGTAATTCTGTATTTTTTAAGTTTCCAGGTTCCTGGTGTGTATATGCATGCGTCAGATAATGAACTCAAGCCTACATTACCATGTTAACATGCTTTTCAATCCTTCTTGCACATTCTTTTCAAACTAAACTTTGCTTTAAACTGTTGTGTGCTTGGAAAAATATAAATTGTAATGTTAAAAATCTAAAAAAAACTTGACAGGTTTAAAACTTAAGATAAATCACAAGATAGAAGTCAATGTCACAAATAAATAACTTTTATTTTAGAGTCAAGGTATGTTTATACAAGATAATACTATTAATATCATGTGACTTTTATAGAGAATCATTATACAGTTCTTTTATTCAGGGTTTCCACAGTCTTACATAATTTCAGAAATTCCTGACTTTTAACTGACTCAGGATTAGTTTTCCCTGACAAAATAAATGCAGCAACAAGACAATAATAATAACATAACAGCTCACCAATTTAACATGTTTAGCTCTATAACATTTAAATGCACCTCTCCAATGTCTAAGAGAAAAAGAATTAATGAAAATTTTAATGTATGACCTGCATCACTGTACAGAAAACTGCCATATGATAGCGCTTTCTATCTTGTTTGTCATTTTGGTAACTACATCAAAAATCAAGCCATCTGGCGGAAAATCAGCCGGTTTTTTCCAATCACACGCCTTTTTTAAATCACGTGAGAATGTGTACACAGCAACAAAAATGGCGCTGGCAACGCTTCTGGGTTGTTTTCATTGAAAGTCTGTGATTTTTAAGTCATTTTGAGTGATAAATTTACACTGCTGTATTGCACACTGCTCTATTTGCACTACCTTGTACATTTTACTTTTTATACTTTTTATATATATATTTTTTTATTATTTATCCATATTTTTATCCTAAGTGTATATATTAGTATATTTTTTGCATGCCTTATACCCCAGTGCTTTTAGAGATTTTTATAATTTTATTTACCTATTTCATATTATATGTTTCATGTTGCACGATTGTACCATAAAAAATTCCTAGTTGTGAACTCCTTCACTAACAATGGCAATAAACCCGATTCTGATTCTGAAATGATAATTTTTTTGCAATCATTGCACTTGTCCAGCGGGCAACTGCAATGAAATTTGTACACATATGGAATTTTATGTATATATATATATATATAGTACTGGGAACACTTAGTGACGCAGTACTAATCATTGTGGTTCCTGCAATCAGCTTCCTGGCTGTGACACATTTCTGCTTTTTCAGATCGCAAGCCGGTGGCGACCCACCTCCCCCTGGCCTACTCCCGCGGCTCCCCACAGGACGAGGAGCAGCTTTTGACAGCATTGGAGGAATTCGCCCAAAAGTTCAAGCCTTAATGAATAAAAAACTCCCCTGCTTTTTCAAATAAAAGCACTCCAAAAACGCTAAACTGTTTACAAAATCATACTTTCACTTACTAATTAAACATGTTGGACTTAAACAGCAGAGTCAAAGATTCTAATATGTCATTAAGGTTAAATACAGAAAGTATTTTCTGGATTTATTACCTTTTTTAAGGTTTTATGAAGCTTTTTTAAGATATACTGGAAAGAAGGTTTTGTTGCACATTAATTTAATCAAGCTAATGAACAATATATTCTCTGTAATGTGTACACATATACTGATTTTTTTTTTTTTTTTTTGTAAAATAAAATATTCAATTTCATTAAACTGATACATTTTCTGTTTTTTAGGTTTTAACACCTTTAACTTTAAAAGGTCATGGTGACAGATTTAGCATTAAGTAATAAACAGAGAATTCACAGTGACAAATCCAAATTTGAAAATTGTTATAAATATAAAACAGTCTTAGTCCTGTTAGTTTGGCCCCTAAAATTTCCCTTAAGAGGTAATTCAGTCTGCAGGAGAGGAAAGATGGAGATTATGGAAAATCTTTTTACTCTCCAGATAGTATAGGTTAACCAGGCTGTCCTGTCCAGATAACCTGACTAATGCTATATTTTGCTTCTTTACCATAGCGCTCCTTTAAAACCTGTTGGTATTAAATACCAGACATGATTCTCTTTGGGGGAAAAAAAAAAAAAAACACCTTACGCTTTGGGGCTCGTAAATTCTTTTTAAGATGTCTATAGATAAAACACAAACTGGTTGGCAACTCAAAAACAAAACGTATATGTATAAAAATCTCCAACCTTTAACTTTGAGCAAACGTGTCTTATTTGGACTGGTAAACAGCAGCAGCGCAGCTATTAGCATCCGTGCTGTCCATACCTTGAGCGTTAGTTTTATACCAATAGGGCAGCATCAAGACTTCTCATTTAACAATTTACATCTTTATCCAAATGGACGTACACACACACACATATATATATATACACATATATGTATATATATATATACACACATATATGTATGTATATATATATATATGTATATATATATATATATATATGTTCAGGTTTAAAAAAATCTATTTCATTATATTGAATTTTTTTTTTAAAGCTACAGTGTGTAACTTTTAGCGACATCTAGCGGTCAGACTGCAGCAACATGAACATCTCCCCCCCACCGCTTCTCCCCCCCAACAGTACGGCGAGCGTTACGGGACAAAATGTCTTCCAGGACGTCCGCATCACCTACCTTCTCAAGTGATGAGGTTTGTTTACATAGATAATTTTACAGATAGTATTTCATTAGTCTGTGTAGGGTATAGATTTCATGTAGACTTAAGATAATAAATATACTCGTTATTTTTTCTACATCGTTGTGACGTTTTGGCGATCTCGCAATCCCTAGTTTGTTGGCTCTGCGCTGCCGTAGCGCAAAGATGTCTGCCTCCATGGCTGCGAGACCCGCTCCTATGTAATTATAAATAACGAATTCTAAGGCAACGCAAATATTAAGGTAAAGAGGCTGAGCTCGTAGATGATGATAAATAACATAGTTATGTATAATATATTACATTTCTGACTGTATATCCCTGTAATTATTACACACTGTAGCTTTAAATGAGTTTTAAACAACCAGTTTTTCCTTTTTTTGTTTTTTGACGCTTGTCTAGCGCCCTCTGGTGGCCTCCAATGTGAAATCCACAGTTTTACTGAAGGTGGCCAAGAGAAAATAACTAAACAGAAGGAGACTGCTCTTTATTATCATGGTTAACACACCTTATACCCTTTCTTTACAGCATTATTATCAATAATCTTTGGAAAGTATTTCAGCTGAGAATTACACATACAGCATTGAAGCACATTTAATACAATATAGGTGGAAAAATGTTTTCTTTTGCTCCTTGATTCCAGTGCATTAAGATTAAGTCTAACTCACAAAAAGTAAAAAATAAAAACACGTTAGCTTTAGCAAAGATTTCTGCTCTGGTGCTTCTGAAATGCCACATTATTAGCGGTGTTATGTACTTCTGTAAGTGTTCCACATATGAAATAAACAATAAATAATCACATGAAACTGCTGGAAAAACACAAAGTTATTAATCTGACACTCAGTTAGCAGCCTGCATGGTTTTAATCACTGATTACACAGCATGACACATTGTGAGCCTGATGAGCGACCTGTGATGTCACTAAATAACCATTTAAACTGGCTTCATATGAGGAACGGAACAGATTCTCTAAACCTATCCATTTATTTTAAAAAAAATTCTGAAAAAGGTTATGCTACACTAATGCAGTACAAACAAATAAGGTCTTGATTAGCTGCACTTTAACACTAAATTTCAAAATCAGAAAGAAGTTGAATCTGAGAGTGGAATTTTTTAGATTAAATCGTGTTACAACAGAATTTAAATACTGTGTTCAGGATGAACCAGTCTCATAAAAAAAAATAAAAAAAAAACACAACAAAAAAAGAGTTTCCCAGAATGCATCTGGCTAATTATCCAAAACATGATTTAGCTTCCACTTGGGAAAAAAAAAAGATCAAAACCAAAATAAAAATGCTGCCTGCTTTATTAATAATGAGGCTGATAAACTAATTGACTTTGAGTAGTGAGGGACCCATAATTGGTGCTGGGTCCTTATATTGGCAAAATGGCTTGCTACCCAGGGTGGCATGATGTGAGGGCAGCAGAAGAGTCTGGAAAAAGAAAAAAAAAAAGTCCATATATCAGGGGAGTGGACATCCGCTGTGGTAAGCACAGTGCTGTTCGGGATTAACTCCTGCAATAGGATGCAGAATCTCATTCTCAAAATTAACAGACTTTTTCTATTTGTTGCTTTTTATAAATCTGGACTGAATTTAATCACAAATACTAAACTTCAACTGGATCATTAAACCCAACTAGGGGAACTAAAAGGCAGAATTACTGCTACAAACTCAGTGTTGAGTAGTGAGAGAAATTATTCATAATCCAGTTTGTTTAACTTAAAGAAAAACACGCCAGCAGATTATAGGAGCTAGTCTGAGTTTCATCGTTTATGTTTGGGAAACCAAAAGTCTGTGATATAATACTAAAAATAATAAAAAGGAATGTTTAACATTTACAAGAGTAAAAGTAATAAAAATGGCTGTAAACAGTAGGAGGCTCCACTTAGAGAAGACTTTGATTATGAATGATCAGGCACCTGGTTTTGTCCTCCATGAATACACTCAATAATAATGCAATATTAACTAAACCTCATGCTTTAGTTATGTTTTGCTTTTTTTTTTTTTTTTTTTTTTTTTTTTTACATTTGGATATTTTTCCTAAATAAATGATGTAACAGAAATAAAACCATATTTTGCCACTAGGGGGCGACATTTCACAGGCTTGAACTCCTGCTGACAGTATTCTTATTTTGTCAATAATAAAATAAAATAAAAACTTGGTGTGAAAAATAGGCAGGTCCCTCATTTCATGTTAGTGGGTTAAGAGTCCAATGAGGTTCTTATGCACAAAACAAATCTGAAGTTTAGTCGCTCCAGTCTTCAATAGCAGGGAATTACAGAATATATCACATTTTTTACAGTCAAAAGTCCCAGAAGTATCCCAGAGTACAGAGTATGGGTACTCTAGACCACAAAATCCACCATCCAGTCTGTAACCGTGTGTTCAGCCTGTACTGGTCCCAAGCTTCATGGACTTGCAGTGTCAAAACCGTGAATGCAAAATATAAACCAGTGTTAAATATGATCCAGGTGAAATGGACGCTGTTCCCTCTCCTTCATGAAAACGCCACCGCTGTTGTGACACCGTCGCAGTTTGCAGAAATGCTGCTTGTCCACGGAAACTCAGGACACCACAGGAGTCATGTCCCATATCTGCAGAAAAACACAAAAATACCTTTGATTGAATGAAGATGACCGTCATTAGACATGAATCAATTAGAGGGAAGCTAAAGCCTCCGATCAGAAACATCCTTCTGACAGGAGGGATTTCTAAAAGTCCTGAGAGAAACGGGTGACTCTTAAAATGGCCGCCACAGCTTAACTCTGAATGAATCAGAATCAGGTATAAACACTGTCTACAGTTGACCTGGAAAGATGGAGCAAGGGAAACATTGACATTTGATTTATTTATTTTTTTTACTTTTCTATTATATCTAACACGACTGAACCAAAATGAAGCAAGAATTGAATAAAAAGCTTGAATTTCTCCATGATTCTCTGTCATCCTGCTTCAAATAATAGATACAGGCTACAACCCATGCATTAAACCTCAGTAATCACTACATAGTTTTCCTTTAGCAAGGAGAGATTCAATAAACCTGCAAAGCTTCAGTTGAGATTTCAAATAAAACTTGCTGCTTTCCTGATAAAAGCAAATTTTGTAGAATTGTTCTCATGGTTTGAAACCAGGCAGAGGTTCAGGAAGTTTAACTTAAGCCTGAGAAATGTCTGTAAATGTTTGGGATTTTATTCTTTCCGCCACCTGAACGAAGCTGTTACCACCAGATCGAAAGGAAACAAGCTAAGATGTCTGAGAAGAAATTAGGACTCAGCAAGGCTTAATCTGATCTTAAAGTGATGTTTGGACAGCTGTGTCTATGAAGTCAGTTTAAAACCTGTAAATTGGACTTAAATTTACTGATGCCTCTAATATCTTTTGGGAAAAAAGAAAATTTAGATGAAAAAAATTGAGCAATTTGATCACAATGGTGAGAAGTTGGTAAAAAAAAAAAAAACTTTTAAAGATAAAAGGCTTCCCCAGGCTGCACCTACTGCCAAGCAGAGTTAAGCATCTGGATGTGGGGATATGGGGAGCGGTGGCCTAGTGGTTAGGGCATAGAGCACGGGGAACCAATTAAAAATCAGCAGGTCCGAATAAAGAAAATCGACCAGTAAAATTCCAGAGACATTTTTAATTATTAATTATAATCTGTTACTTTAAAGAGAATTTAACACTGAAATAAAATGAGGTGTTTATGTATCAATGTTACACATTGAATAAAAAAAAAAAAAAAGAAAATTTTTTCCATTTTAAAATCTAAAGCGTTTTTTTTTTTAAGTAGAGAACAACAATCTTTCAGTTTGGTATATAGACAATTTCCTAATTCACATATTTTATAAAACACCTGAAATGATCGTTTGTTTTTGTTTTATTTCTTTTAATTTTCTGGCTTAATGAGTAGTGGGTTTTTAGCCTGTCCTGCAAGGCTTTTAAACCTTGCAGGTCTCCATTCAAACCTGGGTTTGAATGGAGAAAAAGCCATTCTAAAGCTCATATCAAGGAGCTCATTTTGAGCCTGGATCCATGTTTATTTTTATGTTCATGGTGGAGAATCCTGCTTGACAGCAATAGGTTGAGCCAAATAATACTCAAAATGTGCAGGGTCATCTTTAAGCACGCCATTTCACTTTTCTTTCACCAGTTCACCACAGTTCTTCCAGCAGTCCACACTTTCTCTGCTTTCTTTCTCTCATTGCCTTCTCCTTCTTTCCCATCGCCCGGCTTGTCACAGGTTTGCCTGCTGTGTCTAAAAGTAGCAGCAGCAGCAACCCAGACTGACAGCAGCTCATTGGCTAACATTTGTACCTGGTCCCAGGCGCTCCGGAGGGCTTAACCATAATAACAGGAGAAGCTGCGCAGTTAGACACTGTCGTCAGACAACATGCGGTCATTTATAAATGTTTTAAATCAGGTTGGCCAGCAGGTGAGTCTGGATCCGGACCGCGATCTGCTAATCTGTGACCTCTGGCACGGAGCTTGGAATCCTGAGGTTGTGAGTTTGAAATCCACTCCCACAGAGCGCCACTCTGGCCCTCTGAGCAAGACCCTTAACCCCCAATTGCTCCTTGGGCGTCTGACGATGGCAGCCTACTGCTCCCCAAAGGGGATGAGTTAAATGCAAAGGTTAATTTCTCCAATGTGAGATCAATTAAATTTAATTATTGTTATTTTCTGTCACTGGCTCTTTGCACACATTAGATTATAATAAAAAGAGGCTTGAAGACTTTTTTATTTAAGCAAGCCTATTCTGCCTCCACATGATTTTTAGGATGTTGATTTTTATCTTTGATTTTATTTGCACTGTGTAGCACTTTGAGATTTTTGTTAATGAAAAGTGCGGTACAAATTGGATTGATTATTATTATTATTATTAATATAAACTATTACAATAAAGGGGAAAAAATCCAAAATTCTTTAGCTTAAATTCAAAGGAAGATTTGGATGATTGACACTTAGACACAGGAGGTTTTTCTAACAGGATGATGATTCCAATCAGTACTTATTTAAGAATGGATGAAATTTTCTGTATTATGGTAAACAGCAGTGAACTTTACGAGCATAATAAGGCATTCTACAAAAATATGACTAATAGTGTAGAATTAGTTGATGGGTTTACAAAGAAAATAGTTTGAGGACGTTTTTTTTTTGCCTCAACTTCGTTAGTTTTGTTTTGTCTTCGTTTTGAAGCATCATCCTCGAAGTATTTCTGGGAATCTGTCGCCTCCTTGTGTCAGAACCAAAAATTACAATAGAGAAAATCCCCCTCTGCTGACCTTGATGACCTTGTCGGTGCCAGAGGTGAGCAGGTTTCCTGTGGTGGGCTCATATTGCATGTAAACAATGTTGTGCTTGCTGTCGTGGAAGGTGGCTGTGGGCGCTCGGCTGAAACACAAACGGAGAAGGAGAGGCTTTGTCAGCGTGAGACGCATGAGGAGACGGTACAGAGCACCAGCACTGGCTGATTGGGACTCACTCCTCGTCTGTGATGGACTCATAGCAGCTGTCACACACGCGGACCTCAAACTCGAAGCCCATGAGGGGGATGGTGGAGCGCTTGGACGAACATTTGCCGCACACCGCCTGGCCGCACTTCCTGCAGTGATGCTGAGGAATACAAGAAAACTTAAATATATAAAAAATACAACTCTCTCTTAGATGTGCAATATGTTATAAGTTCTGTCAGGCTAATAGGCAGCGTATATCTCCCTGTGTTAAAACACACACCCCACTGATAAGGTCAGACAGGAAGAGTCCAAACACCTCTCATTAAAATGAACATGGCAGAGCTGATTATAAAAGATGCAAAGTTTATGCAAAATGATTCTGATACTGACGACTGCAGCAGAGGAGAGTGCAGAATGTAGGAGAAACGCACAGTCGACTGATTTTCCTTTCATTCAACACAGTGTTTGTCAGTATCATAAAAACTCTTGTTATAAAGGTTTCTGTGATTTAGGAAATTATATTCTGGATAATTCCTTTTAAAAAAAACAAATATGTTGGAGGAGAAAATGTAAAAAAAAAAAAGATAAAAAGCAGCAGCAAAGTCGTTTTATAATCATTAAAGCATAGTTTGATTCAGTTTCACAATTAGAAACATTACAGGTATAAAGGACGATCTTTTATTTCCGGGTGGATCATCTAAATAATGGTCCTCCTAACTGTCAATCATTCTGTTGATATGATTACGTAAGGCCGTCCTCGTCCCCAGTTAGTTATCTTTTTCTACACATGAACTACGGTTTCAGACAGTCATTGAAGCTCACCTTTCTCACCGCAGTTCTTGGAAAACTGACATAAGAGAAAACATATCTACAAAGTGTATGAGAACAAAAGAAAGGCCTCAGAAGAGGCAGATATATCCCAGAATGCTTTTCGTGGACAGCTCTCCTCACAAAGCATTATGGGATTTGCTGTCACCATAGGCTGTCGCCTATATATAGGCACCGTTCAGCAGAGATGGGAAGTAACGAAGTACAAATACTTCGTTACTGTACTCAAGTAGATTTTTCTGATATATTTACTTACTTATTTTTATGGCGACTTTTTACTTCTACTCCTTACATTTTTACAAAAATATCTGTACTTTCTACTCCTTACATTTTTACAAAAATATCTGTACTTTCTACTCCTTACATTTTAAAAAATTGGCTCATTACTTTAGTTTTGAATCATTTCAATGGAGTTACCGTTATTATTTTTCACATCATCAATACAAAATTCAATCTAATTGGATGGGAATCTACGTTGCATTTGACGCACCACTACAAGATGAATCGACAGATTCGGCGGTATTCATTCGCGGCAAATCATTGCAGCTTGGTGGCGGTGGCGTTAGCATAGTAGCATGGACGACGAGATGATTGAAAATGAACACAACGGAGATCTAGTCCTATTGGCAGACATCCATTTAAAATGTAGGCAACGGCATGAAAAAAGTGGTTTCTACTTTTACTTTTATACTTTAAGTAAATTTACAAGCCTTTACTTCGTTACTTTTACTTGAGTAAAGAAGTTTAATCAGTACTTCCACTTTTACCAGAGTATTTTTTAACACAAGTATCTGTACTTTTACGAGGAAAGTGAGTACTTTTGCCATCTCTGCCGTTCAGTGGAGGAGGAGTTAAGTGACCAACGGGGAGCATAAAGCAGTGATCATCTGTCCAAATGGTCGCTTTACTGAGTTTCCTATAAAGTCCACTTTATAATCCCGGCTGCATGTGGACACAGTAAGTTGTTATTAGCTATGAGAACACGCAAACAGGACGTGCACGAGGAGAAATCGGCTCAATATTATTATTTTTTTAAGTGGATAGGGCGGGTCTTTTAAAAAATCCTCCACAATACCTTTAAAGTGTTCAAAATGCTAAAGGTCATATAGAGAGCTTAAGACAAGAGGATGAAAGGGAAGAAAATTATATGAAGTCAGAATTCTGAAGAAAGAACAAACACATAATAAATACTCATACAAGCACTTTTTGAATTAAAACACTTACCTAAACTACTCTGCATGGATGTTTTCAACGTATTTGCATGCAAATGTCATAACAGGACCCTTTTATATCAAAACCATGACTGCAAGCTCCTAATCTGCCCTTGCTCGCTTTCTATTTGCCTGTATATTCTCTCACTTTGATTGTGGAACCTGCCAGAAAAAAAAGCAACCACCTTTGATTGGCTGCTTTTCCAGAAGTCCCACCTCTTGGTGCTTGGTTCCAGGTACTCAGAGATTCACTTCCATACAGAAAGCCTACATTTATACCTTCAGGTAACACAGACTACATGTCAGACTTAATAATACTACTTCATCGATAGTTTCAAGGTGTTGCTTTATTGTATATCTCGTACCATGTCTTTCGGTTGTGCTGTTCTTTTTTCATCTCGTTACAGGTGATGAAGCAGACTGAAAATGTTTTGTCATTGTCTCCTTTCTATCTCCTCTTTTATCTTTTCTCTTTTTTTTCCTTTTTCTTCTTATGTTTTTCTGCTCTATTAACATTACACTGTTCATATAAACTGTAAAACTCCCTGCATAATTATAATTAAGCAATTTATATGCATGAAACAAGTGGAGCAATATGGCAATTGCCATACTGCTCCACTTGTGAAAGTAAAATCTGTTGGGCTCCTTTTGGCATCAAGACAATTATTCTTATTGCCACATTGCCAGACAGGACACTGTTTAAAAGAAAAAAAAAAAAAAGAAGTCCCACCTCTAGAAATTGGAGGCCTGTTTTGCATCTGCATGCATAAGACGTAGAAAATCCACATGAAGAGTAGTTTACGTGCAAATGCTTTAAATAAAACTGCTCATATCAGTATTTATTATGTCACTGATTTTAAGGATTGACTAAGAGGGGGCAACTTCAGTTTTTTACTATTTAATTTATGCCAAAAATAATTTTTTTTTTTATTCAACTGAGGGCCAAAACTTATAGTTTGGTTTTCATCGGATGACTAAACACATTCTCCTTCAAACTTTGCAGAGATTTATTTAATTTATTAAAGGAATAGTACACCCAAAACATGATTAGCCTTCATTTTCTACTCACCCCCATGCTGAACAACACTCTGGAGTACTTTTTTGATATCTCAAATGCACCTGGAGATCTGGGAGGCTTCTTGCTGTCTGCTGACATTCAAATAATGGAGGTCTACGGTGACCGAGGCAGAAAGGTCCATAAAAGTCCACAAAAAACGTGTCAATATTCCTCCATACTGCTCGTCCAATGTAATCCAAGTGTCCTGAGTGGGTAGCGTCCAGAATTTACTCGAAACGAAGTCATTTAGAATGTTTTTAGAGCATAAACAGTAGTGTATAGGATTTCCTGAAAGCGCGCACATGCGCGCTCACAACGCCACGGAAGCCGGCAGACCAAACCAGCGCATTCAGCTCGGCAAAGAACTCATGCTCTTCCTCAACACTGAAGTCCTCAGACATTTTTCTTTCGTTGTTTCTTTCTTTGCACAGGTAAACAGCACATTTCTTCTTCTACGCTTGCATTATTGGCAGAGCAGACGCTGAATGCGCACTTTCATCTGGTTTGGTCTGCCAAACCAGGTGTGCGCTTTCAGGAAATCCTATACACTACTGTTTATGCTCTAAAAACATTCTAAATGACTTCGTTTCGAGTAAATTATGGATGCTACCCACTCAGGACACTTGGAATACATTGGAACGAGCAGTATGGAGGAATATTGACACGTTTTTTGTGGACTTTTATGGACCTTTCTGTCTCGGGCACCATAGACCTCCATTATTTGAATGTCAGCAGACAGCAAGAAGCCTCCCAGATCTCCAGATGCATTTGAGATATCAAAAAAGTACTCCAGAGTGTTGTTCAGCATGGGGGTGAGTAAAAAATGAAGGCTAATCATGTTTTGGGTGTACTATTCCTTTAAGCAAGTGAAAACATAGCTGACCAGCAAAAGATTGAAGATAAAATAATATATAAAAACCTTTTTCTTAAAAAATTACTTTATAAGAACTTGTGCATCTTTCTTAAACAGAAGATTTAACCTCTGACCTCTGAACAGTAAAGCTGTGATTTCTGCTACACTGAAAGTTCAAGAAAGATGAATAAAGCTGGTTTGTTCAGTTGCATAATACCAATGCACACAAATGATTGACACAGATTTCCTCCAAAATTGGAGAAAAATAAAACATTTGTGTCCTAAATATTTAGGTTCAGGGTTTGTTTACAGCTTTCTGCACTCAGATTGAGCACACAGTGAGTCTAATGATGCTGGGAATGAACTCAGCAAGGTGAAATGGTGAGGCAGAATAAGCCAGATGCAAGTTCAGATCATTCACACTAATGCAGCTGGTTTGGAAATGTAATGCATGTTTATTTTGGGGATTTTGGAGATGATTGCAAACAAAATATTAATGACAATTATGATATAAAATCCAGACCTTTAGGAGGAAGTTTGTCATTATTTTAGCAACCACACTGCAAAAACAATCCAGAAATAAGTAAAAAATGGCTTAAATTAAGTATATTTAGCCTTAATTTGAGCAGGTAAATAAGATGATTTGCCAATGGAATGAGTATTTTCACTCTTAAAATAAGATAGTTAGATAATATTTACTTGAAATAAGACGATAAAATAGTTTTTTCTTATTTTAAAAGGAAATTGTCTTGTTCCATTGGCAAAGTGTCTTACTTATCTCCTCAAATCAAGGAAAAACACACTTATTTTAAGAAAAAATAACTTATTGAGATTTATATTTTTTGCAGTGCATTTGTGCTCAAATCAAATCCAGAATAAATGATTGATTAGCTGTGATCAATCAAACCACCAGACCAATTAGAGAACAATGGTTTGGTTGGGTATGGTTCAATTTATTTAGCCATTTTCTTGCTGATACACTCTACAAACACCATCGTCATTTTCTTGGTAGTTCAGCTGCATGTGGAAAAACACTTAGAAGAATGAATCACAATATGGAGGCTTTTCTGAGAATACGGCAATAAAACAGCCACAGGAAGTTCGCTCTCTATCAGAACAGAAGAAGAAAAAGATTCAAGGAAAGTTTTGCTGGAATAATTGGAGGAGCCTTTTCAGGCTTTCCAAAACTGGCTGAGCAGAGAAAGTTGGCATCCCAATCCTTCTTTCTGTTCTATGACGTCCTAAAAAAGTGTTAGTTAAGGTTGGAGGTGGAGGACGTACCTGTCGGAGGCCGATCTTCTTACTGTCCCACATCTGCTTGAAGTTCCAGAAGAAAGGCTGCTCACACTTCTGACAGGAGTCGCTGTCCAGCCATTCTGGAGTCTGTGCACATGAACAATCCAAAAATATAGCTACTATTAGAATGAATAACATTAAAATAACAGTTAGTGGAAAACACAGCATAAGAAATGCAAAGAAAAGTTTGTTCCTGGTCAGAATGGGTTATTTCTGCCGCAAAGCTTTCCTTCATTGGACATTTTTTAACTTTGTAACCATGGCTTATTGCTAAGAAATAATTTATTTCATTCTATTTCAATATTTTACTAAGATTTATCTGTTTTCCAGAGTAAATAATAGAATTTTGTTGCCATAAAAACGTATAAGGCAAATCAGATTAAGCCAAATCTGACAACAGACGAAACTTTGTATCCATCCTCCTCTATTAGGTTCATTTCCATTTTAGTGTAAACAATTTTAGATAACAATAATAATGCATGCATAAATAAACTAACATAAAATGAACTTTCATAGTTGTTGCTGCAATATGTGCTTGAAGAATTGCTTCCGCATAGAGCTGCTTTGAACGGACGAACAATCCCTTAGATTTTGGTGATAATCCAGATCAGAATCTGGATACAGGGATTTTCTTTTTAATAGTCTTCAACATTGTGAGATAGGGATATTTTGCGGAACGAGCAGTTCCCCTCTAAAGCAGAGGCAGTAGTGACTATTGAGCGATCGGACTCAAAGAGTCTATAATGGAGGTCTTTAACAGGGGGGACCGCTGGAGGTACTGCATGGGGGTCGCAAAAGTTTTGGTTGATTTGACCTTTTTTATATTCTCCCCTGCAGTTTTTTTCCCCACTAATTGAAATGTCTTTAAATAAACATTAAAATGAATTCAACACACTGTAATAAACAGATAAATGGAGGCAGAAGATGTCTTTCAGTCATCAATGCACGCATTCAGCGACACACAGGAGCTCTTTCAAGCTGGGCACCGTTTCATTCACAACACCTGTCCCATCAACCAGGAATCAGAATCAGGAATACTTTAATAATCCCAGGGGGAAATTACTTTCGTTACATGACTCCATCTGTAATAGAGTGACTATAGGACCAGCTTGATATAACATAATTTCACACAATATATATAATTAGGGGAGCCCTGCTCCATCTCGCCATCAGTTTGGGGGTCTTTGGCCTGGAAAACGTTGAAGACCCCTGGTCTTTAGGTATTTTACTGAAGACAAAAACACAAGTAAAGGGAACACTGTTTTTTTTTCTAAGCAGGATCAACTGAAAACGTATGAATGGATCAAACCAAAGGTGCTCCTGATACCAAGGAACAATTGATTTACATATAGTAATGATCCAGATCATGTGTGAGTTTTAGCTATAGGTGGAAGTCACAGTCCGGGGCAACATTTGCTGCTTGGCGGAGGTCTGCTCTCTCAGAGGGCTTTTCTACAGTAGTTTATCATTGCAGTTGTAGAGAGAGTTAAAACAGCTGAGGATTTTTTTCTCTTCAGTAGCAGGAAGTCTGGGAAAAATCACTGTCAAAAACTTTCTTCAGAGACGTCCATCCAGAGAAAACCCCTCCCTAGTAACTCCTGTCTCCCCAAAGCTACAATTCAGCTTAGGTTCTGGGTTGTTTTTTAATGTGCCTCTGTGATGGCTGCATGTGCAATCACACAACAAATGGTCTGGTAATTCTTTCATTAAATCTTCTATTTTACTGTACTGCATTTCATGTTTTTCTACTTTGATTTGGCATTGGTTAACTATTTGGGTGCACACGTTTAGTTGACTCATTTTGTCATTTCTTGCTTGTTTGGTTTCTGTACATTAATATATTTTTCATTTGAGTTGCCAGTTCCTGGGAGGCTGTCATGAGTGAAGCCAGTAAAGGAAAGGAGGCCCCAGCTGCAAAGTATCTCCTCATTGACATGGAGGCCTAGTTGGACTCTTCCACTTACTTTTAGAAGGGGTGTAGAAAGGGTTTAGGTCTCTGTATTTGGTTTTGTTTTCTATAATAACATTTGGAAAGTAAATATTTAAGTCCTCTTCCTCATAGGTTGCTGATTGAGTATGGTGCTGATTAGTTTGGTCTTTTGTTGTAGTTTTCTTTAGGAAAATATATTTTATGTTTCCCTCTTAATTCAAAATGGTCTGATCAACCAGTGTGTGTATATATATATATATATATATATATATATATATATATATATATATATATATATATATATATATATGTTTCCCTTGTGTGTCAGTTAGGTAGGTCTTTTTCCTGTGTCAGGTTTGGATTATGCTGATTTTTGTCATTTGTTTTCCTTGATGGGTCCAGTCTTGTTTGAACTTTTGAACTTTATTTTTGCTAAATAAATTTGTTACCATTTTTCCATCAATGACTTCCCTGTGCTTCTCTGATTTTTCGGCTCGGTCCCTCACAGCCTCCCAAAGTTTCACGTGACTATTGTTTTTAAAGTTTTTGCACTCAGCCACTGCGTCTGTTTTTCTTTGCTTTAGGTCTTCATGCTATAATTGCAGGAGTCTGACCACACAGTGGATCTGTGTTTATCCCCCAAACATGAGAGCGACGCTGAGCCAATTGTGTCAAGTGACTCTCATAAACAAGACAAATCAGCAAAAACACTGAACTTTGCTTTAACCTTTAAAACACACAATGTGCCAGTTCGGCCTCAATATGGATAAAAAACAGAAACTTCTGATTATATAATCTAGATTTAGATTCAGTTAGAAAAAAGATATTGCATTAGTTTAATTGTTTTTCTCTCCTCTACTTTTCCCTGTCAGTGCTTCCCTGCAGGACAGGATTTTGTTTTAGAGCGGTGCTGAGAGTTTAGGCCAAACATTTAGGAAAAAATGTCGGTCTAATAAATAAAAAGCTATATTGTGTAACAAGCATATGGAGACTGAAAGTCATGGATCCAGAGCAAGCACCGATGGTTGAACTGATCTTTATTTGCTTCTCTGCAGCACAGCTTTGCATTTTCTCTACTCTTTGGAACAAATTATAGATTTGTGCACTGAGTCGACTTCGATCTCAGTGATTACACGTTACCTCTTGTCGAGTCACGTCCATGTTCCAGATGACGATGCTGCCGTCTGAGCTGCAGGAGATGAGCTGGCGGGTGTGTGAGGCATAGCACAGGCCCTGGACTTTGTCACTGAGGACGGATCACACGTACGCTTAAAAACAACCCATTCAATGTACGCTAACGACGAGCAAATATCCGTGAAACCGAATTAAACCCTGCTTCCAATCAGAGCTCAAAGCTCATTGGTTTCCTACTTGTGTCCCTGCAGTTCGATGGCGGTGCCTTTCCTCCCTCCGATGTCCCACATGATGATGGAGTGGTCCGAGCTGCCCGAAAAAAGCACCCGCTGAACTGGGTCCCAGCACAGCGCCGTCACATTACCTGGTGGAGAGAGATGGGAACACGATGCAATAAACCCTCTCAGTTAAAACCAACGCTTCTCATCTACAGACTCTTAACTTCATCAGAAAAAGGAATTGCTTGTTTTATCTAAAAAAAATGAAACCTGGAATTGTGCTGCGGATGCAATGATTTGGGAGGATGAGTCCCTGAGCTGGAGGTGATATACGGATCTGATCCTCAAACTAAATTATGAAATCTAAATAAAGATGGTGGTGATTCAGTTAAGTTGTACATTTTGTGAAAATGTGTGTTTCTTTTCCTTATTATCTTTCAAAATTAATGATTGTAACAATTATACAATATTCAGTGATATGATCAAATTTAAAAAGAAAAAAACATTTACTTAAATTACTTTATAAAAAAAGTCAAACATCTGTACTGCTGCTGTAAACTGCTAGAATTCTTCAAAGATTAAAGTATAAAACTTAGGAGATGCACATCTGGATACCTTTGTAACATAACCACTATGTTATTTTCTCTTTTTTGTATAAAGTACATTAAAGTGTACCCTTAACAAACTGTCTTGTAAAACAGTTATGTCATTGGTAATATTATTTCAAATCTCCACTGGTTAAAAAATGATGATGGGAATTAATATGCTGGGTTATTTTGATGAGGAGAAATTTTTTTAATAAAAAGGGGCGTGTGCGTTTGTCCCGGCGCCGCAGATCACCCATGTAGGAAACTGATCAGAGTTTGCACCCAGAGGACGCCGCCCGGTGCAGTGAGACGTCGCCCATGGGAAAGAAAGACGCTTCGGTGAGATCTGGACTTTGTTTTTTGGGGGATTTTTGGTGGTACCACTCTTTTTTCTAATCTTTTTTTTGGGGGGGTTGTTGTTTCGGATTTTTCGTTTTTGGAAAGGACTTTGGACTTAAACGCTTCCAGGATTTTACTTTGGGTTCGGAGCATATGGAACTCCTGTTTGGACATTATTATTAAAAATTAAAAGAATGGACAGCTTTGGACTTTCAGTTATTAGGATTGTTTTTGTTTGTTTTTTGCAGATATAAATAGAGATTTTGAGTTTACTTATAAATTGGTTGTGAAGGTTTTTGGGTTATTGATCATTTATACTGAAATATTATTGAATGAAACTTTGGATTCTTGGTAGTAGTACGATTTTTTTATTATTATTTTTAATAAATCTTTGTTTGCTAACAAAATCAACATAATCCTACTAAGTGGTTGGATTTTTTTTATTTTGTCTCAGATTAATATTGTATCACTTATTGCCTGTTTTCCTGTGAAAAAATATTTGTGAGTTCTGCTTTTAATCAAGCTGAATTTTACACCTTGGTGAGTCTAAACAAAATGACGTTTTCCAGATGCAGACTCACCATCAGGTGGGTAGTATCTAGTTGCATTTACTTGAGTAACTTTTTCAACAAAGGATATTTTAGGGGTAAATGTAATGCACTTTTTACTTTTAATTGAGAAATAACATTATTAGGAAGCATCAACACTTTTACCTGAATAAAAGCCTCTAGCAACTCTTTCCACTGTAATATCAGTAAGTAAAGAATAGGTTCATTTTAGCCAAAAAAGCACCAATTTCAACAATTTCTGTTGAAGTGAGACTTCTAGTTTGCACACAAGCTTGGTTCTTTTAGTTAATTTTTATCTGCTGAGTCTATTGAGCCCTATAGAGGTCAAGTATTGTTACTGGGAGTATTTTGCACTCTTTTAACATACATAATCTGGCTTAAAGAATCAGCTCACTTCAAATCAATTAATTTGGGTGTTCCAACAAAGTCTGCATGTCTGTAACCTCATTATTATAAAATAACTTGGAGATAAATTAGACCAGAGGCTGCAGTTCTGAAGCAGAACCTGATTTGTTGATCGACTGCTAAAAAATTGAGGGTTTATCTACGATTTGGCCTCAAAGTTCATGTAGATTTAAAAGAAGATAGACAAAATATTTGCCAATACAGTGTATATACACACCAAGTTTGCATTGTTTAAAAAGTTTCATGTTAACGGAAAAAAAAAAGATTTAGAAAAGTATCTTATTAGTCTGGATTTATTCAATTAGGTTAATTTTGGCCATTTTTTTTGTATTTTAGTTTGAAAAATACCAGAAATCGCACCGAACTTCATACTTTTATCTTTCAGATTACATCATCTTTATATATAAAACCAACATTATGATAAGGCAGTCAGTACTACAACATTCTTACTACATATATTTCTATTCCGACTTGAGTAATACACTGGATGTCATTAAAGTAGTTTTACAAAACTTAAAAACCTTTTTCAATCTATCCGTTTTTAGCGGGATCCTAAATACAGAGGAAGAAGCTGCATTAAGACTGAAAACAGTCTGCAGGGGTCAGTTTTTGCAACAATACAGAGGCTGTGTCATCCCTAAAAGCTTCCTGGAAATGTTAACTATAACTTCATTAATCAGTTATGACCCTGAGCTAAATCTGGATGATCAATCAGACACTTGGGTGATAAAAATATGTACATTTTCACACTAGCTGCCATGGAGCCTTATCTTTGTCACATTTTTTTATTGTACCATCAGGCTTTAATCAGCATGAGATAAGAACTGTGTGCTGAACGTATCAGTGGGCTGTCCTTCCTGCTGATGAGTTAAATAAAACCCTCTCTGCTCTGTGGCAGGAAGCATTTCTAACCAGGAAATAACTTCATGTGCAGCAAACCTGCTTTGGATTGATTTAATTGGAAAACAACAGAATTTCTCATGAAAATTTGCCCTCATAGATTCCATTTAACCACTTTATCTATTGGGGGAAGTAGACCTCTTTAATTAGACTGAGAGGAACTTGTTATCATGCAAGGCGTGACTGCATTTATGCAGGTGTTTCTTCTAAATATGCAATTTACAAGAAAATGTTAAGATTAAAACAAAACTCACTCTTTGCAATAAGAGAACTCTACTTTTTTTCCTTAATTACAATAATAACTATGAATATTTATCTTTCAACAACAAATAGAAACACATACAGTGTGTGTGAGTGTACCTGTGTGTCCTTTAAAGGTGGTAACCAGGCTGCAGCTGTCCTGCTCCAGCTTCAGGATAGTCACCTGACCAGACTGGTCCCCTACAAAGGCATGCCTGGTCTCTACGTCGAACCTGTTTTAAGGTTAAGTTATAAAATAAGGGAATAATGTAGTGAACTAAACCTGTTGTTTCAATGCAACAAAAGAACTCAATGTCTTACAAAAAAGTTGCATAAACCCCTGAATGCAACGCTGAAATTATGTCAAAAGGGTAGACTGTTAGGCTACGTTCACACTGCAGCGTTAAGTGACCCAAATCTGATTTTTTGGCCCATATGTGACCTGGATCTGATCTTTTCATGGCAGTCTGAACAACACAAATCTGATTTTTTCCAATGCGACCCAGGCCACTTGGCTATGTGGTCCTGAATCTGATCTTTTCAAATGCGAGCTGTGTCTGAACGGCCAGGTCGCGTTCATCCAACCTGAACGCCATTAAAACCCGACAAAGGTCACTATTCTGCATCTTCATATGAAGAAGCGTCACGAAAAACAACAACCATGGCGGACGACGATACGGAGAGCAGTATTTATGTTTAACCATCTTGAAAAGATTGTTTTTATGGTTGGGAAAGATCGCTAGATGCGCTCCGACACTACCATCCATGTTTACTTCCGTAAACACAGAGCAGGCAGGCCTGTGATGTCATTACGTTCTCTACTGTGCATGTGGGACACTTGCGTTGTATGACTGCAGTTCACACAGCAGATCACATACAAGTCGCATATATTTGGAAATGTGAACGGCAACGCAAAAAAAATTGGATTTCACAAAATAATCGGAATTAAGCATCAAGGCCTGCAGTGTGAACGTAGCCTTTGTGATTGTTTGTGCTTAAATTAAGAGTCGGCTATTAACTCTGTTTGAACTGATACTGGACATATATTGGTTGTTTTTTTGTATTTCAATGAGCTTCTCTTTAAATTCATACTATCTTTTTATAGAACAATAACACCCTTTTTGTAGTACACTCCAGTGTTTGCCTGGCCAAAATAACAGCATATGGCCAATTAGATCACTGTGCCAGTGTGTGCCTAAGCCCCGCCTGTTGTACAGGCTGTACGTGCCCAAAAAGATTATGTATTGTTTTTCATTTAGGCATATGTGGTTTAAAACAAAAATAAGCTTTGGCGTCTGAGATTCTGATTCCTTCCCTTCAGCTGCTAACAAAAGAACTGGGATATAGATAAATAAAAATCTAACTGCTGCTAAATGGATCCCTAGAAAAGAGCAACATGTCTGCAGAAAGGCAGAATAAATATCAAACAGGAAAATCTTCCTGCAAAAAATTTCAGCCCTAAAGAAAGTTCAACCAAAATTCTTTTAACCAAAAACAACCAATCTATTCTTAGAATATATCGAATATATCTACTGACTGCTATGGACATGCCTCATTTCTAAAACCATTATTCTGTTTGTAGAAGTAAGAAACCTTACGCCATTCAGATCTCTATAGTGAAAATGCCCCCTACTTCCATTAGTTGTGCACTTCTTAGTGAGCTCTATGCAGCTAAACATGCTGTTAGCCAGCTGAGGCAGGAGATGATCATTGATGACCTGGTGGCAGGTTCATTTGTATGGATCAGTGTTTCTGCTCAGCATTCACAGCCTTTCATCTGCCCATTACAGAAACCAACTCAGACCGTTTCCTTGACAGCAGCATGACTGATTCCTATTGTTAGTCTTTCCCATTAACACAAACTCACTAGAAGCTAATCTCTACAAACGGCCCGTTTGTTCACCCCAGGCTTAGATTAGAGCAGTCTTTATACAATTATAGACAGTTATTTTTACAAATATTCTGAAAACTCTGGATCTAGCAGGGAGCTCTGAATGTTTGTTGAGCTGCCTCTGAGGGGAAATGAATGAAACATCAGTAGAAGGGGAGGGAGGGTGTTGGAGGATACTGTAGTCCTGAGACCCAGGCCGCAGTGCGATACGTCCCCAGCTGCTGGCCGCTTTCCGAGCAGTGCCAGGTGAAGTTCCTGTCCTGGCCGGTGCTCAACAGCCACTCCATCTCCAACACAAACAGCACCACCACCACTCTGCCCTGGTGAGCTGCACACAGAGAAAACAGACCATTATCGATCAGTGGTGCTACTGGCTCTTCGTTTAGAGTGAATTAAAACCAGGAAGGAATCGTGAGCACAGAAAGAAAGCAATAAGAAACTTAATATCCGATCAAAAAATGAACTAAAACCAGATTATTCAGTTCAAAACAGGAAACGTTACGTTTAACGGTTTATCAGGGATCGAATAAAATACAAAAATGTTAATTTCTCTTCAGATTTTGTAATGTTAAAATGAGAAACTTCGATGTTTAATTGGATTTTGACGTAACAAAGCAACATAGAGTGGAGCAGAACTGTGATTTTGAAAGAAAAAAGTGATTTACTCTGCGGTACCCTTAAAGAAACCTTCAATAATTTGGCAATGAAAGTCCTCAGGTGTGTCATTTTATTTTAGTATAACACTCATTATTTGGGTCCTGCCAAGATAAAAAAAAAACAACTTACAATTAGAAGCGTTAGATAATTAATCTTCTTTTGAGACTTATTTTCTCATTTAAGTGTTTAAAATACTTAGTTCTAGATTTAAAATCAATGAATCTTGTCTATTGAAATAATCTTGCTACTTGGAAAGATTTTTTTTTTCCAGAGCTGTTCAGTGACTCTGATGTTTGTTAGAAAACCTGGTCAAAATCCGGATCCAGATCCAATAGAAACTTGCAAACCGATAGACTGACAGGTTCCACCATATCTGACCGCAGCCACCAGACTTGCAGCTGGTTCTGCAAACTATTTACTCAGTAGAAGTAATTAGAAATGCTGATGTTTGTTTCTGCGTAAAAATAAAATAAAACTGAAAGCCATATTTTTTATTTTAAATCAATATAATTACAAACCAGCTAACTTGTCATAGATAATGCTGATAAAATACATTGAAGTTTGCGGTTGCTTTGTGGCAAAATATGGAAAGGTTCACAAAATGACAAAATAGCTGATTTTGTTCTGCAGAACATCCTGTCTCACCTTGATATGTGAGCGCTGGGCTCATCTTGTTGTAGTCCTCTGATAGAATAAACTCCTAAAATAAAAAATAGAGAATCCAATGACATAAATACAGGAAAAAAAAAACATATTATGGGATGAAAAGTAAACCCTGTTTTTAAAAATGTGACTGAAAAAACAAATGGAAAAACTACAAGAACAGAAAGATGAGTTGTGAAAAAAGCTTCCTCTTTGGCAAATATCTACATAGAAACATTTGTGGGAGCATTTAGGTTTCATGCTTTGGGATTAAAATCTGAAATGCCACAGTCTGTTCAGATCTCTGTGGACTTATCTCAAATTAAAACAAACTAGAAAAGCATTCAGAGAGAGCAGACCTCCACCAACCAGCGAATTTTGCCCCAAAATGTAAATTTCCCTTATAGCTAACAAACTAACAACTTTCCATTTTCTTGTGTTTTTTTCTTCAGTAAAATACCTCCGGACTTTTTGACTCCGATGCTGAGGCTGTCAATAGTCAGTGCTGCCACCCTCTGGTTTAGAGGGGAACTACTTGTTCCTCCAAATGTCCCTATTTCATAATCTTGGAGAATCTTTTTAAAGTTGTAGGGAAACGGCCGTTCCAACCGTTGCATTTCCGAATTCTCCCGAGTGGTGCACGACTTTACACGAGTGAATAAAGTGAATGTGATTGGTCATTTATCAAGACGGCAGGGTTGTTGTGGTGGAAGGTTTACAAGCAAGTTTGATTGTGGCCGGTGTCTCGGAAGGTAAAGTAAATTATTCTCATTTCTTATTTCAACCGTTGCGTATATTAGCTGCAACATGTGAATCAAGATGACCGTTGATATATGATTGGCCGAATTTAGGTGTTCAGGCTGACGGCATAACTAACCGGCCTTGCATAAGATAACGGAAAAAAACAGAGATTTTAAGAAAGTTTTTTTTTTTTTTATTGAAATTTTCTAAATTTTGGGACAATATCGTCTGATAAAGAGTACATTTATATACATGTATAAGCCAGAATGATTTGACATTTAAATGTGATTTCCCTACGATAATCCCTGAATTCAGATCATGATCTGGATCATGACCAAAATTTAATAGATTGTTCATTGGCACGAAAATCCATCCATAACTTTTCAAGTTGTTCTATACAGACAAACAGACAAGCTCTCCTAAAACATAACCTCCTTAGTGACGGTAACTACAAGGAGCTAAAAATGGAAAAAATTTAACTTCTAAACTAGTTTTTCATTTAAGATTTATTTATCCCTAAAAAAACACCTCAATGACACACATCACAAATCCAGACATCACACTGTAAACATCATACCTGCACTACATGGTGAATCTTCAAAATAGAACTCAACTCAGTGTTTCTACTGCATTTTGCACCATATATATTCATTTATTTTTGCACTGCTCTGAACCATGTCTCTCCTACATCGTTTACATTTCGAACACTGCTGCACTTTATAAATGCATTTTACTGCTAAGCTGCTCATTATATATATATATATATATATATATATATATATATATATATATATATATATATATATATATATATATATATATGAGTTTAGGTGGTAAATACTTTGTCTTATCTGCTTATGAAATCCATTACAGAAAGAGCAGAGGTAGGTTGCAATGCCCAGAGCAGCTCCACAGCTATATGCAGGATTTTCTTTTCCTTTCAGGAAACACATTGTGGTTGAGCTGTCAGCATATATGACCTAGAAATACCATCCTCACATTAATGAACCACTACAATCTCATCAGCGAAGATTTGTGCATACTTAGAATAGTCTAGGAAACGCTAAGCTCCACCTTGCATAACATGGAGGACACTGAGTTCTTGATTCCCAGAGGACCTGAAGAGACCATTTACATGCTGGTTGCTCTTTAACGCAGCGACACAACCATGGTCTAATATGAAGGGAGGACCGTAGTGCAGTTCATTCAATAACAACTTCAATAGCAAAATCTTTTTCATAAACATCTGAAAGAAAGAAAAGAGCAATGACTTATATCCCTTAGGTGATTACTGCCTAATAAGATGAAAAGCAGCTGACAACAGAGGAAGGAAAGGTTATTAGAGGGTTTTCAGTCGCACTTACACAGATACTTCCTGTATCCATCCCTACAGACAACCTCCTGGTCTCTGGGTTAAAGGACATACAGGAACATGAGGCTGAGGAAAACATGGAAAAGAAAGCATGTTAATAGCCAAATACATGCAAAACAGCCCGTCAAAAGGTGAGAGAAGTTCCAGCTGCAGAGTTGAAAGTCCTAATGCTAAAGAGAGCTTCCTGGCTGTAAAACCAATCTTTTATTTAGCATTCAGCTGATTTCAACAGCACTGTTTGCCTTGAGTTTCACTAATAAATGTGGGTCATGTGATGTTAAGTAAGCAAAGTTCGTCTGACGAATGGAACGGGTCACAGACAGACCAAAAAAAGCAATTTACAGCACATTTGCAAAACTCCTCAGCTTTACTCACAGGACAAACTCAGTAAAACCTTCTGTGGCAGTGGCCACAGAAGGTTTTACAATGCCACAATGAAAACACAGCAGGCATTTTATTTTTCTCTTAGTATTAGAAGCAATCTGAAATGGCTAAAATAACACCTCAACATTTTTTAGCTGAAAAACATAAATAATAATAATAAAAAAAAAACAATGCCTACACTGCAAAAAACTACCTAAAAATGAGTAAACATGCCTTAAATTAAATGTATTTACCCTTAAGTTGAGCAGGTAAATAAGATGATTTGCCAATGGAATGAGTATTTTTACTCTTAAAATAAGATGGTTAGATAATATGCACTTGTAATAAGGCTATATAATTGTTTTTTTCTTATTTTAAATGTAAATTGTTTTGTTCCATTGGCAAAGTGTCTCACTTACCTCCTTAATTCAAGAGAAAAAATGCAATTATTTTAAGAAAAAAAACGCTTATTGAGATTTGAATTTTTTTCAGTGTATAAAGTCGATTTGCCTTTTTCTTTCATTTAGACTAAAAAATCTGGACATAAATCTAATTTTTTTTAACTTTCACTACTAGCTTCACATTTATTTATATATAATACATCCTAATAAGATTAAAAACCCTACATAGATTAATCAGAAGGTTCTGGAATCCTGCTTTAGATCAAATATAGCACCAACTCTTAAAGCTACAGTGTGTAATTTTCAGCGACATCTAGCGGTCAGACTGCAGACTGCAGCAACATGAACATCTCCCCCCCACCGCTTCTCCCCCCCAACAGTACGGCGAGCGTTACGGGACAAAATGTCTTCCACGACGTCCGCATCACCTACCTTCTCAAGTGATGAGGTTTGTTTACATAGATAATTTTAATACTGTCATCTATTGTTCAGTACCGTCTCAGTTCATCTCTCTCAACTTGCCGTAGTTACTTTCGGGCGTAATGGGCGATCTCGCAATCACTAGTTTGTTGGCTCTACGCTGCCGTAGCGCAAAGATGTCTGCCTCCATGGCTGCGAGACCCGCTCCTATGTAATTATAAATAACGAATTATAAGGCAACGCAAATATTAAGGTTAAGAGGCTGAGCTCGTAGATGATGATAAATAACATAGTTATGTATAATATATTACATTTCTGACTGTATATCCCTGTAATTATTACACACTGTAGCTTTAATACGATTGCAAATAATGACTGAAGTCTACATTTATTGCTTAATCATTGTGGATTTGATGGTCTGATGTTGCAATTTCCTGGTTAAGATGGCTGTTGTTTAAAAAAATAACTTCTAATCAGTGCCCTGTAAAAGTATTCCTAGCTTATGATAATTTTCTGATGTTGCAGCGATTTCATGTATCAGATTACATATGTGAGCTTTTGGATAAAAAAACAAATCGACAAAATCTGCACACGTACCTTGAACATTTTCACATGTTACACCCGTGAAGCTTAAGGTATATAGTATGTTGCATATTGTGTAGCTATATATTGATTTGGTGAAAAATAATCATTTTTTTCAAATTTTCATGCTCTTTTTTAATTCCATCTAAGTCCAAGTAAATATGGATAAGCTCTCCTACTGCTGGAGAAAACCATCTCCACAGCCTCATGCTGCCACCACCATGCCTCGCAGAGGGGATGATGTGGTCAGGGTAGTTTTCAATATATGTGACGGTTTTGTCTGATCAGAAAACATTCTTCTGCATGTTTTCTCTTCTTATTTCTTTCTTTAAAGTCTTCATTAAAGGTTCGATTTGTAGAGTGTAGGAAATATTTAAGAAGGCTTAAGGTACGGTCCAGTCTGACCGGTGAATCTCCACAGCTCCTCCAGGGTAACTGGGCTAATAGCGGCCTCTCTGATGAGATCGCTTCTTTTTCAGGTCAGTCCTATAAGGTTTAAAGGGGTCATAGTTCTTCCATTTTTACTGGAAGGATGAAATGACGCTCTGTAGGATGAGGGAAGCTTGAGATATTTCTTTATATCTCACCTCTTCTTTAAATTTCTCCGGAATTTTTCCCTGTCCTCTCTTCCATTTTCTTTTCTTGTTTTGTTCCCTAACGTTACATTCATCCCAACATCTAATCACAAACAGGTACTCATTTAACTGATTAGGTGCTGGATTGTATTTAGAAGTATACATAAAAGGATGGCTGAACAAAAAATTATAAAAAATATGAACAAAAAATGATTAAATACCAAAAACTCCAAGATTCTGTGTGTGATATTGTTTCCGTATAAAGAAATAAAGTCAGTTTCCTTAAAACGGACTTTCTTTGACCTATTAAAGCAACATTGAGGAACTTTTGACTTTGTCTGCTATCAAATTCCAAAACATGGAGGGAGACTGTTTAATTTTGGGAGGATGCAAAGTTTCCTGTTGCTTTAAGTGACAGAAGTCTAGCACTCCTAGTAGCTAAATGTTATACATTACTGCTTTAAAACAAGGGTTTTAGAAGCTATTTTCACCCTTATAGACACCGTGTGTAATAATTACAGGGATTTACTGACATAAATGTTATACATTATCTAGTCAGCAGCCTGACCATTAGATGCTACTGAAAATAACACATAGGTTTAAATTACGACAAATAAATCAAGTATAGCTCTACTTTTATAAAGTCTAAATGCAATCTTGTGATAACTGTGTAATAATAAGGCGTAAAACAGATTCTAATAAACAAAAAAACATTTTTTTTTATCTTGCTCCTTATTTCCCATATAAACACTGCACAGCACCATGAAAATCCTTTTAAAAACCTAAGAAACACGTTGATTTATTCTATCAACATATTAAAATCCTTTAAATCCAGGATATTTCACATGAATCAGTTAATCCAAGATAGTTTTAGCTGGCTTATAGCAAATAAATACATACAGATTGCATGTTTTATAACAAATAGAGCTCTTTATTAACAGGGAATATCTTAATGTTATTAATGTTGGTTCATTTTTCCCCCAAAGCGTCATCAGATTTTGAATCTGTTCTGTAAATGTGAGCTGTTTCGTTTCATTTATCCCTATTTCAGTCAACTGCTAAAAATGCTTCACATTTGCAACCTCTGCTATTGTCAGAGACAGATCTTGCTGATTGTGGCCTTCGGTTTCCTTCAGTTACTCAGCTGCAGGAAAACAAAGCCAAACTGTCACAAATGTGTAGCGCTGCTACTATACAGACAATCTGATAACTTAAAAAATGTTATGTAGTTTTCATAACAATCACTAAAAGAGAAACAATCTGCATTAAAATGACACAAAAACTATTGCAAACATATTTAAAGACAGGAAGACTTACATTGCATGGTGTGGTAAACACTTGGCCAGTACTGACCGCTGTCTCTCTTCAACCAAACCCGAATTGTTCTGTAAAGACACAACAAACCGATCATTAAATCTAAGGTGAGGTAAATCATTAATTGACTTTTTTCTAAACAGGCAGGGTTTAAAAAGTTTGACCAGATTGCTCTACAGTTCTGCAGGAAATTAACTTTAGTTTCACATCTCCTGTTTCTGAGAAAAGGGGAAAAATAAATGGACTTAAGCAGGCTCGCAGTGGGAATCTGTGATACCGGGCATTTCAGCATGCAGTTAAATCATACGGGCCTCAACACTTACTCTCTGGCCGAAGCACCTACCTGTGACACTAAATAACTCAAGGAGCTCAAGAAGTAATACAATGTTAACTACCTAAATGATCCATGCAGTATATATAGCCCTTCCTCATCATGCACATCCTTATGACGGTTGGCATATGGTGTAATGTTCTATTTCTTCAAACTGTAAAATCATTGCAACAAACTAAATTATAATAAAACTAAAATGCTTTCTCTAAACCAAACTAAAATGTTCCTCTTATATTTGGCGAATTTATGTTTGAATATTTTGAAAAAATATGTTGCGGTGCATGATGGGGTTTTGCATCTAAAGGCTAACGTTTCCCGTCTTAGGTGCATTGTTGCCAGGTTGCGATGTTTGCCAATCTAGCAGTTTAGGATTAACCTGACTCCGCCAGATGGATTTGCTGGATTTGCTGGATTTGCTCCGCATATCCATCTGGATACCTTCCGTTGAAGTAATTTTGGGAAGGGGCGAAAATACTGGTTAGCTGATTGGCCTATGTTGGTGATAGACGGGCCACGCTAACGCTAGTTTCATCGGCTGAAGCCGCCATGTTCTTTAGACTGAACTGTCGCACTTCTTGTTGCATCACCTCAACCAGCCTCAAAGTCAACGCTGATTGGACGTTCGTTTGGTGAACTGCTCCAAATTTTCTTTAACGGAAAGTAGCCAGACGGATTTGCGAGTGAAACCTTGAAAGCTCGCAAGATCAGGATGGTCTCACGAGGCTAGTTTAGGATGGCCCTCTAGGGGTAAAATATTCTTTTTTTTTAGATTCATGGTCTAAGAGATCAATAGACTTTGGTTCAAATTGGGTGAAACGGCAGTTAATGAAAATTTTTTGAGCTGGAAAACGTGAGTCAGTGACATCTGGCAACCTTGCTGATGACACTGTCGCGTCCCTGTTAATAACCAAAGCCATTAAAACCGCATTATGGAAGTAGTGGTGATCGTTGTCGTGTAATGATGGAAGATAGATCGGTTAATCGGTTTGACTGTGCTTCTACTTTTTTGTAGTAATTTTTTTTTTTTTTGTGGGGGGGGGGGGGGGGGGGGGGGGGGTCGCACAGATTTCCAGCAAGATGAATGAGAGAGTGGAGTTAGATATCCTGTGTGAACGACCGATCCTCGATCAGAGCTCATCAGGAAAAATATGGCGGTTTGAAGGTTCATCTCCAATTATTATTTTATGAATCATTGAAGCCAATTTTCTTCCAGAAACAGACAGATACATTAGTCAGTTGATATTTTAGGCAGAGATTTGTGTTTTTAACTTGTATCAGAATTTGTCAATATAGGAACACATTCACAGATTTGTTTGTGTTGTGCCTTTAGATCAGGTCAAGCCCGAGACTGTAACCTCTGAACCGTTTTTTTTCCATATCACACTCACTGCAGTGAGTATAGAGACGCTCCTACTATGCAGGGTGAGCAGATCCTGACCTGTGCAGATTTCTTTTTTCTGTGTCTGTGCCCCACAAATCGAGAGTGTGGTTGTTTTCACACCTGATAGTCCCGTAGACTCAGATTATTTGGTGACCAAAGTTTCAACATTTTTACTATTTTCATCTAGTGTGGTTTGCATTCAGGAGGCACTTTGTCAAACAGAAAAACCTTTTTGCCCACTGCTGAACCCCCTCGCATGCGGTGGCTCTGTGGAAACCACTGTAACCACTGCTTAAAGATGGTTGGTTAATAACACTAAACTACTTCCTTGTCCATGAAAATGCACTGAAAAAAATTATGCCTCCTCTTTTGGTGTTTATTTAACCATATTCAATTACTTTAACTCAGTTATTTTATGTTCTATCGGCTAACATGAAACAATAGTTTTAAAGTAAATAAATATTATTAAGTAAATGCCTAAAAGAGTTGCATTAATTTTTTTCAGCGTGTTAACATCATGGAAGGGCAACAGATTTCAGCAATGTTATTGCTATACAGTCCTTTGGCTAGTTTGCCAGATGATCATCTTTCAACAATGGGCTCAGAATTAAAGAAAAAAAAAGCAGACAACCGCAGACCCTGTTTTTTTTCTATACTCAAGGTGAGTATGAAGGCTACAAAAGAGGCGACGAAGTGCAAGAAGCGGCAGATTTGATTCGATTGATGTCCAGCAGGGTATTCTTTAAAAATGTATAACTTCATTTGTATTATTACGTAAATACAGTACAATTACAGCTTTTGGAGTGGTCTCTAGTCTGCTTGGCTTTCACATCTCTAGTTGCATCGCGCCAGAATTCATTTCAACTGAGCCAAGATGTATAGTTTGTATTTATTGGACCATGAGTCCGGAATAAAGTTTATCTATCTATCTATCTATCTATCTATCTATCTATCTATCTATCTATCTATCTATCTATCTATCTATCTATCTATCTATCTATCTATCTATCTATCTATCTATCTATCTATCTATCTATCTATCTATCTATCTATAGTTTTTGAGGCGGACCAGAGCTCGCTTTTTTGGTCCGCATCAGAGTTTGATGGCGTATTCATACCTTTTCTACCCAAACAAACTACAGTTTCATTAGAGTGGACTTGTGTGAATACATCCTATGTCCTGCAGTTCTTGCGAAATTCCTGCAAAAAGTACTGTTACCATGGCGGCGCTTCAAGGCAGCGGCCAAGAGCAGCTCCTCTCGACAATTTCACAAAATATGCTGCTTAAAAGATACAAACTAGACATCAAACCCGCATCTATGATTACCAACGCCTGCTGGAGCTACCGTAACAAAATGTTTTCAATACTGACATTTTGGACTGTTTAAAAAGCTGCGTAGTGCTACGGACGATAGACGACGCATCGTCTGTTGCTTCAACCACGTCAGGCTCTTTGACCCAGGGGGCTACCACCCTCACAGCATCGTCATCGTCATCATCGTCCTCTTCCTCCCCTGAGCCCGGAGAAGCGAGTGCTTGAGGAGCTGGAGGCAGTAGTAGCAGCTCAACAACAACTTCTGCTTACCTTATCAAGGCTGCACTTCACAAAAATGAAATTGTCTAGAGAGGTGTTTTAAACTAAATTTCTTTTTGTCAACATTTGTGTATACAAAATGACAAAATAAATCTGTCTAAGTCTAATTTGACTGGGTCAGATTAAAAAAAGTAAATAAAAGACGGGAGAGTGAGAAGGTGCTGTTTCCTGTACTGTTCATTTTGATTTGTTTTTGTGAGGCTCAAAGAGGATCACTATTTTACTTCTTTATACCCGAGTCAGCCCAGCCTGTAAAATACGTGCTGTGTGATTCCAAAATTGATTTTCTTTTAGATTGGAAGCAAAATCCTGTTCAATGTGTTCAGCGCTTAAGCAGACACTGCCGCTCCATCCATTAGCTATCCACGTTCAATTATTCTTTATTTTAAGGTTAAATTGATTGTTCAAAATGAGTTAACATTGCGTCACTTTTATCATGTCAATCGACAAAGGAAAAGCTTGAAAATTAAAAACTATCAAAACAGAAACATTGGCAGTAAAAATCATGGATCGGTTACACTGGAATAAAAAAACGTATTGGTCGATCCTTCCTTTTGCATTTCTCGAGGACGCCCAAAAATCTTGTTCAGTATCAAGTCCTTCCAGATATAAAGGTTTTAACCGCTGGTTGTCTTCCAGGGACTATTTTCCAGTCATTCCACATGGGTTACCATTGGTTCAGCCAATAACGTCCTTAGACCTTGAGCAGCCTCTTTAAGGTGAGTAAGTTGTGTTACTCCAACAGGTTGCTGGCTGGTCCCCATCCAGCAAGCACTGCTCTAGAGATATTGTGCAAGTCTAACTGCCAGCCCACAATGCCTGGATGTTGTTTAACCAGTTCTTTACATTTGGAAACCACCTAGGATGAATAACTTTATCGTCCAATCACCGTTTACACTACAAGACATAACAAAGCCAGCAAACTCATCTACTTTTCTAATGAGACTCGCATTAAAATTGGTTTTGACTGAAACTGAAACAATTATCTAAAGTAAATTCCCAATTTACTCTTCCTAAAAAAACATTTGTGCTGTGTTTATAACTTGGATATATACATAAATACCAAATTTAGTTTCTAATTGCTTTCTTTCTCACATTATTTGAAGCATTTTTACACATTTACACTTGCCGAACACCACAGAATGTCCAAATCTGGGTTGGTCTCTGGGTGGTCGGGATCAGGTTTGGATGTTCCGACTAAATTCTGTTCCTCTGAAGAAATAAGTTGGGTCTTTTGATGGAATACCACTGGTGCTACTTCTTGTTTAGCTACCTTTTTGTTCTCCCTACAATCGACGTTGAGCAATGTCAACAATGTTGTTACGTTGAACAAAGGCTCAGAAACAAAAGCAGACTCAGACTATTTTCCTATAGAGGCCTTGTGTGGATTTGCTTTGTTCCAATCTATTCTGTTAGTTGGGGATATTTAAGAGAGCCGCAGGTTAGTTTATGTGAAACTTTTTTAAAATATGAAAAAATTTTAAACGGATATTTTTTCTATGTTGGAATGCCTTATAAAGCTGTTATTCATGCCTCACCTTATCTTGATTTGCAGCCTTATTCACAGCTATTTGCAACACAAAAGTCTTTGATATCAGTGCTTAAATGGAAAAAAAAAAAACTACTAAATGCTAATGTTCAAATCCCCTTTCGGTCTCCGGGGATTCATTTTATGGATTTGGTTGCATTTTATAATATGACGTTGGATAATGATCAAGTAACTGTTGGGGTGCACTTCTGTAATTGACTTTAAACATGTTACAGAAGACTCTGGCATTGATAAACATGTTGACATTTGCAGAGACGTTTTCAAATAAAGGTTTTTGTGACATTACTACATTCTGATTTTTGTTGGTTGTTTTTTTTTATGTTCATATTGACTTGAAATTAGGATTAATATTGCGTCATTGGTAGCACAAGTATTGACAAGTGTGTGAAAAAAAGTTACCCTCTAAAAAGAGAAAATATATATATCTAAGAATCTAATCATAACAGGAAAGGTTGTGTAGGAAGAAGAGGAAATAGTCAAACCAACAGTTCAAAAAGAAAAAAAAAACACCCACACACTTAAACTTGCAAAAATGAAATGTTGTCAAAGAACTTCATAGAACAGACAGAAAAAAATGAATGGACCCCGAAAAACATGTTTGATGTGAAAATGAGGCCTTTTTCTATAAGGCTCCGAGAGCTATGCAGGATGAGGATTAAGAGCTTATGTGTTTCTGACATACTATCAAAATCATAATGTGGAGTGTTTTTCTTCAATTTCTGTAGATTTTTCCTTAAAATAAAGGGTACAAATGCAGAAAAGCATTGTCCTCTGTAGAGAAGGATAGCTGCAGACTTGTAAGCACACATGGCAGCATGACATCTAAAAAAATGCACATCAGGCCTCTTTTTTCCAAACTGAAAACTGTTTGCTTCAGTATTTCAACTGGATAATGATCCTAAGTCTATAGCAGAATAGACAGAAAAGGTTCAGCAGACACAAAATGACATCATCAGAGCAAAGTCCTACAGGACACCTGGGGTAAAATGAAGACAGCATAACAGATGACCCAGGAGGATCTACAGAGAATATATAAAAGCAATGGTCAAAGATCCCTCCATGTTGTTAAATGTTAAAAATCTGCTGTCCTTTTTTTTTTTAATAAAACGGTGCATTACAATGTGTTGACAGCATTCCTATGGAGTTATTTTTACAGTTTAAGTCTTGCGAAACAAATGCATTGAAACTAGATTTCAGGGTGCGATCGTGCAACTGTAATAACTGTGTAATATTTGCAGTGGGTACATTTTGCTTTGGTGTTGTTTCAAATTCACCAGAAGACATTGAGTGATTAATAGCTTTTTGAATGAGCAGTTCTAGAAAAGGGCAGATAGTCCTGACCCTATTAGGGTCCCTTTTCTGAAAACATACACTGCAAAAAGTTTTTCTTGCAACGTGTTTTCCCTTGATTTAAGGTAAGTTGCAGATGGAATAAAATCATTTATTTATTTTAAATGTATAGAATTTAATTTCATTAGAGCAAAAATACTCATCCCATTGGTAATCATTTTATCTACACTGATATTATAAATATTTATTTATTTTAGATCACTTTTTACAGTGTAACACCAAATCATTTTCTACTGATGATATAAATTAACAGTAGAGAGTAAAACTGATTTGTCCGTGAGACTAATTTCAAATTTTGCCTTTAAATTTTACTATAAATGTTTTAGGATTTTTAAGATACAGTCAGCTTCGACTGTAATAAGATGGTATCACAGAATTCATCTGTTAGATCAGGGGTCTGCAGCCTTGGCTTTGTGGAGGATTTTCGCAAATCTTTTAAAAGACTCGCCCTCTCCACGCGCATGCATTTTCACATAACTCCTCCACCGCCCGGTGCCTACGCCATCTTTGTTATTAGTCACCGCTGTCATATAGCGACAGCCTATGGCAAGAGCAGGCTGCTGTGACATCAAATCCTGTATTACTTTGCAAGGAGAACTCTCTGTGCAAAGCAATCTGGGATATATCTGCATCTTCTGATGCCTTTCTTTTCTTCTCATGCACTTCGTAGACAGTAGTTTTTCTCTTACGAGCCTCAGCTATTTTCAAAGAACCGTGGTAAGAAAGGACTACTTATTTAAATGATCCACAAGGGTCTATACCTTTAACACACTAAACAATTGCCCTAGATCAGTGGTGTTCAACAGGGGTCCGCAGGTTCACAGAGGTACTGCATGGAGTCCCCTGCAATTCTTTCCACTTGTTGAAATGTCTTTGAAATCGACATTAAGATGAATTCAACACACAGTAAATGGATAAATGGAGGCAGAAGATGTCTTTCAGTCATCAATGCACACATTCAGCGACACAAAGGAGCTCTTTGAAACTGGGCACCGTTTCATTCACAACACCTGTCCCATCAATGAGGAATCAGAAATACTTTAATAATCCCAGGGGAAAATTACTTTCCTTACATTACTCCATATTTAATAGAGTGACTATAGGAACATTTAATATAACAATTTCATAAGATATATATAATTAGGGGGTCCCCGCTCCATCGCCATCGGTTTGGGGTCCTTGGCCTGGAAGCATTGAAGACCCCTGCCCTAGAATTTATTTTTGTTTTTATTTTTTTAATTTCTTTTACATCTTTATGTTCTGTTCCCCCATGAAAAAAAAAAACACTGCCCCCATACTGGCCCCCCTGGCATATCTAATCTAGAACCGCCCCTGGCTTTATGCCGGTTAAAAATCATTGAACAGATTCTTTATGGACACGCTTAAAAACAGGAAATGTTTAAAATAATGGTACACTAACTGCAATCCATGTTACAGATGGTTAGGTAGAGAGAGACCTACCTGTCCTCAGATACGCTGATCACACCGTCTTCTTTGGGGATGATCGCCGCCGCGGTAACAACCTCCTGGAAAGCCTCGATTTTACTCAGCAAGCACGGCTTCCTAGCCTTTGGACGAGGCTGGATTTCCGCCGCCATGGTGGAGAGAAGTGGGACCTCCGCCTCCTTCCTGTCTCAGGGACACATAACCCGCGGTAGCCCCGTAGCAGAGCCTCGGTGAAGCAGCTACTACATGTAGCTGTCAGGCAGAACCGACAGTGTTGTGACTTCGCTGAAAGGTACGGTCATGTCAGCTGACAACACAAGCACATACGCCCACCGTACGGAAGGTCACACACACCCCTCATTTCCTGTCTACAAAATAAAACTTCCGCTTCAGTCTACCGGTTGAAATTTCAAAATAAAGACTCGATTAAAACCAAACATGCATATTTCCCTTAGCAAAAAGTAGCTTATTCAAGTATACTAAAAGTGCACTAATTTCATACTTAAAATCAGGCAGTGCATTTAAGAGTTTACTTATTCTAAACTATATTTCATGTACTTAATAGTGAAGTGTACTTGACTATACTATTGTTTACTTTATTGTTTACTAATATACTTTAAGTATACTTTAGTAAACTTAAAAATGACCCAATTTAGTTCGAAGAAGTATTACTTTAGTAATACTTCAAGTACACTAAAAGTACATTGTTCGGTATACTTTCTAAACTAATACTTATACTTAAAGCTAGTGTGTAACTTTTAGCGACATCTAGCGGTCAGACTGCAGACTGCAGTATCATGAACGTCTCCCCCCCACCGCTTCTCCCCCCCAACAGTACGGCGAGCGTTACGGGACAAAATGTCTTCCACGACGTCCGCATCACCTACCTTCTCAAGTGATGAGGTTTGTTTACATAGATAATTTTACAGATAGTATTTCATTTGTCTGTGTAGGGTATAGATTTCATGTAGACTTAAGATAATAAATATACCCATTATTTTTTCTACATCGTTGTGACGTTTTGGCGATCTCGCAATCGCTAGTTTGTTGGCTCTGCGCTGCCGTAGCGCAAAGATGTCTGCCTCCATGGCTGCGAGACCCGCTCCTATGTAATTATAAATAACGAATTCTAAGGCAACGCAAATATTAAGGTTAAGAGGCTGAGCTCGTAGATGATGATAAATAACATAGTTATGTATAATATATTACATTTCTGACTGTATATCCCTGTAATTATTACACACTGTAGCTTTAAGTATTCTTAATAGAATTTACTTCAAGTATACTACTTTTTGCTAAGGGATTGTATCTTTATATTTTCTCCACCGCTTTTTACCCTTTAAAATGTCAGCCAAGATTGTGATAAATTATATTTACTGAGATGGTACTTGTGAAAATTTAGAGATCCATTGTAGTTTGGGTGCAACCATCCCTCCCCTTTCTGAAAAAAAAACATTTTTGACCCAAACTATTTAGACTACAAGCTATTAAAGTCGTTACTTTGCTCTACCACCAGTAAAAAATTAGTAAATCTATTTTCACTTGTTCAATTAAACACAGTTTATCTCATAGAATACTTTTATAACATACGTGTAACTCAGAGTAAAAGATATAAGGTAAAAATCGTTATATCATCAGAGAAAATAACAATACAACTTGTTAAAAGCAAAAATAAGAGATAATAATATTAGACACTAGATATTACAACATAAAATGAATGATTTTAAGAATATTTTGTCTTAACAACTTGTTCAAACCTACCTAGATGTAACCTGTACGGGAGAGGATTAGGGCCACTGAAAAAATAAAAAAAGTGAACTGATTTTTAAATATTATTTCAATTTATTATGGGAAAATAGTCAGAATTTCTACTTTTTTCTCAGCATTCTGACTTTTTTTCAGAATTCTGACTTTTTTTCTCAGAATTCTGACTTTTATCTTAGAATTCCTACTCTTTTCTCCTCATTCTGACTTTAATCTAAGAATTCTGACTTTAATCTCAGAATTCTGACATTTTTTCTCAGCTTTCTGACTTTAATCTCAGAATTCTGACCTTAATCTCAGAATTCATATCACGTGACAATATTAAACTGAATTTTTTTTTTCTTTAAATCAGTTCACTTTTTTAAAATTTTTTCAGTGGCCCTAATCTTCTCCCGTAAACCTGTGATTCAGTGGCTGAAGATTTCTTTTTCCATTAGGTGTGTCATTAGTTTCCAGCAGGGGGCAGGCTTTATTCTGATAGGAAATGCTTCTTTTTTTTTCAGAACTAATTTCATGCATCCACCTTAATTGGTTGACTGAATAGATGCAACATTTATTCAGGTTGTACAGTTTTCTCATGTGTTTGTAATGGAAAACCCTCAAAGGCAGCACTGATCTTTATGTCCAAGTAACAAAATAATTGTTCCACACCTAACATTTGATTAAACACAAAACTAAAATCACAATAATTAGAGTAAACTGAACTTTGATTTTAATGCATCTTTGACAAAGAATATTAGAGATGTCCGCAGAATAAAAATCTGAAGAGTTAAAAAAAAGAATAGCTTGTGATGTAGGTGCATGTGATATACATAATGTGTCTTTTTTTAGTCATAACCATTCCTGCCAAATCTCTATGGGTTTGTACTGAATTTAGCATTTAGCGCTGTGTGCTCTTTAAGTGTGTTTGTTTAGGTTGAGGAGAAAATACCCTGATTCAAACTTCTCCATCTCTGTTACGATGTCTGATAAGCTGAATTTTGGAAGTAGATTTACTGACATCTGACTTCCAATCCTAGCCTAAATTACTTCTTTTTTTTTTCTCTTGTTCTTTTATTTGTAAATTGCATTCATATAATGAACCCTCCAAGTAGCAATCCCAAAGATTACATAATTTTATTAATTGCATTTTTTATTTTTGGCTTATGATGTTGAAACTTAACCTGTTTGTGTTCTGTCAAATATTGCATTACCTCTCTATTTTTAATCAAAAACTGATCATTGATAACACACTTATTAGCATTGAGCAAATCAATGTTTCTCTTCTGTTAGATTTTTATATAAATGCAAACATTCAGGATTACATTAAAATGTATCAATCAAAAGCAATATTGCCAAACTGGTGATTTTGAAAAATATGTTATATTTCATAATAACATATACTGTGATATTGAGTAATACTACATTAATATATTAAATAATATTTGAACAAAAAATACTGAGACACACTGAAAAAGATTATGCAACCATTTTTAGCATTTACTTAATCATATTTAATTACTTTAACAACAATTGTTTCCTGGTAGCAGGGTAGGACATAAAACAATTGTGTTAAAGTAACTAAATATGATTAAATGCCAAAAACAGTTGTTTTATTTTTTTCAGTGTATGCATGATGATGGAAGATGTTAGGCGAAAGATTTTTTGCATTATGCATTTTCCTTTATGCTGTAATGTTGCTCATACAGAGTTGGCAAGATTTTCTACCCAACCTAAATCATTTTGGGACAAAATGTGGAGGAAGGTTTATTTATTTGATTCAGTGATTTTGCATTTGTTTGACAAAAAAATAAGAAGAAAAAAAGACAGATTTTTCCCTTTTTATAGCCAGCGTTTCTAATTTATGCGGCACCACCTAACTACACTGTTTAGAGTACAGAAATCTGTTTAGTTCTTAAACATTTTATTGTAACTATTGAGGGAAGCAGAAATATCTTGCTAATACTGTTCCTCAGAAGGGTACCAAGAACTGGTATGTGACAATTGAGTTTGAATAATAAAAATTATACTATAAAAAATGACCATTGCTATGAATTAGATATTTTTCTTTGGTATTTTTATCTTTTTTAATTATCATGCTTTCTGACTTACACATAGTTAAAAGTACATTGAAAAGAAAAAAAGTGAATTGTCTGGTTGTTGTTTCTTCTTTTTCATACAAATGGAAAACCACTGAATCAATTAATCAAACCACAACAAAAAAAATTCCCTCAACATTGTGCTCCAAAATGCTTTCGATGGAGTAATAAATATTGTATGAGCAGCTGCTCAACAAAGCAATATAAAAGAAAATACATAAAACAGCAACACTAATGCACCCTCAGTCATCATAACTTTGCATGTTTGGTTATATTTGGATTTCACAGTTTACCTATAACAAGTAAAAAAACACATCTTTTTTAATATTTAAGCTCGAACGGATTGCACTATTGTGATTGCTTAATACTTAATATCTTCTTTTTGGCAGCAATTAAACACCATAGGATATGAAGTATTTTCTTTGACAGGGATGTAATACTCAGATAGCTAGCAATCTATTAAGTGCTGCCATTAACCAAACAATGTTACATAATACATTAACAGAAAAAGTTCCTGTAATGGGTCTAAAAAAAGTGATGAGGCAAAAATCTTTGCTCATAACCAATGAGAATTTCATAATAAAAGCCTAACCATCGAAAAATAGCAACAAGTTATTCCCATTTTAGTTGTCATGAACGTAAGGCAAAATAAAGCAGAGGTCTTCAACAGGGGGTCTGTGACCCCTAGGGGGTCCAAGGATATACTGCATGGGGGTCGCAAAAGTTTTGGTTTATTTATTTATTTATTTTTAATCCCCCTCTGCAATTTTTTTCACTAATTGAAATGTCTTTAAATACACATTAAGATGAATACAACACACTGTAGTAATCAGATAAGTGGAGGCAGAAGATGTCTTTCAGTCATCAATGCACACATTCAGCGACACAAAGGAGCTCTTTGAAACTGGGCACCGTTTTATTCAAAACACTTGTCCCATCAACCAGGAATCAGATTTAGAAATACTTTTATAATCCCAGGGAGAAATTACTTTCGTTACATGACTCCATCTGTAATAGAGTGACTATAGGATCAGTTTGATATAACACAATTTCATATAATATATATAATTAGGGGGGCCCTGCTCCATCGCCATAAGTTTGGGGGTCCCTGGCCTGGAAAATGTTTGGAGACCCCTGCTACAGAGGCATAGCCAGAATATTTTGATAAGGCTGGCCAGGCAATAACCAATGTACACTGAGGGGTGGCCGAAATAGCCCAGAACCTCAGGGTTAATCTACACTGTTCCAACAGGAAAATTAACAAGTAAAACATCCATATTTTCTAAATAAAGACAAACTTTATTTTCCTACAGCCTTTACTAAAAAATAGAGGCGTATATGTTTAAAAATCTGTGCTTTCTAAATAAAAGGTATGGTGGATAAAATTCTTTCAGTTTGAGATCTGGAGCGTAAATCTTTTCCATTTTTATTACTTACCTACTTGTATCAATAAATATTCTGCATAAAATTGATATTTAAAAGTACTAATATCTACATAAATTGATTATTTGATAAGT